CAATAAATACTGAATTCGAACGAAAACAAGCTAGTAAATTCCGAAGAAATTTACACAAAAACCTCAATTTTCACTGTTAAACATTTCTTCTTAATTTTTTTAGGTTGGCGTAAATTGTAACAGTTAACATGTGAACATAAAGGAATTTTCGCGTATTTTCTAAATAAACATGCGAAAATCAAACAAAAAAAATTTCTTTTCGCCTTTTTGCATCAGCACAATTGTGAAAAAATTTTCCGGTTTCTCATTTTATTTCTAATTACTCATGTGAAGTTTTTATAGCGACGATGTGGAGAGTTTCAATGATAATTGGTGCTGCTGTTTGTGCTACTTTTCAAAATTTGTTGCGAATTTTTCTACCAGATTTTGAAGTAATTTTTTAAATACTTTATTTTGTTTGCTACTTTTTGACTAGTTAATAGGCATGATGGGGCATAAACATGGACTCAATTTATATCCAAATTTTTAACTTAAGATTTTTTTTCAACTTTTCCTTCTAATTTCTTAATTAAATTATATGACTGATTGTTTGTCATGCATCAGTTTTATTAATCAATTTGTAACGACAAATCAATTCAAAAAAATGAATGATCACTTAACGAATTTATGACCACACACTTCTCGGTCGTAATCAAATTTATTAATAATTTATCTTTGTGATTTCCTGGCATGACTGTTTAGATTTGCTTTTGATGAAACTTTTATCATGTGTTTCTACTGAAATTGATGATGTAATGCTTGATTTGACTATAAAACAATTTTCTTTAGGAAATTGTGTAAAGCATTTATCCATCATGTTGATCCCTTCTGGCAAGCTGCAGAATTCAAGAATTCAAGTTTTTTAATTAAAAATTCACACAAATTTTCGTCCGAACCACAAAAAAGCACTAAAAACTGCAAACACAAATTGAAGATCATGAAAGTCAATATTTGAGGATTCATTAATGATTTTTTTCTTTCTTCTTCATCATCTTAATTTAAGCAACAAAATTATTTCTGTGCTCATACATACAAACCGCACATTTGCGTAAATATTTGAGAATATTTCGTAATATTATTATGAAGGCAAACTTTTCATATTCATTACAAGACATAAATGATGCATTGCATGATCGTGGAAACTGTAACTGCATTAAAAATCCATTAAGATGAAGATGAAAAAAGGGGGAAAGTGATCATTAAACAGAGCTCTGTGCAACAATATTTGCCTTTCTGTTCTTCATACTTAATTAGTGATACCAAAACAATATTTTCCTTATAGAAATTATTCATGCATTAAAACGTTCACTTTTTCATTCGCTTAGTCAAGTTTTAATGCGCCATGAGATTACCATGTATAACAAAATTGTTAATTAATGGTCTTTATCTTTTTTGCTTTTATTAATTACGTCTATGTATAACACTCTTTTTAGTCATTCGGACAAAGAACTTCACGTAAATTGAACTCAATAAGAAGAATGAAAAGATTTGTAGCTTATACGGATAAAAATCAGCTTAATTATACTCTAAATGGAATGAGTTTTTAGAGTCTTGCTAAAAAGAATTGTTTGCATGTAAAAGAATAGTTCGATGAACTTAGTAAATATGGATTTTTGATGATAATTTTAGAAAAAAAGATTTGTTTTTATTAACATATTTCAACAATTACAAAAAATTCACAATTATCACGACAAACTCTCGCCAAGATTGCAGCTCAATCATTTTGATCAATTCCATACCTTCAACATTAGCTTTTGAGTTTCTACCAATTGACAAATTACAAACAATGTTATTAATTTCCCATTAAAGTTAATATTTGAAATATACACCAATTATATTAGCATGCATTAATATTTTTCTCTTTCTTTATTCATTCCCATACAAAACGACTTCTTGTTCATTAGTTCGCAAAAAAATTAATCTATTCCATAAAAAATCAAAAAGCAAACAAATCCGGCCTTTTCTCCATTCCTACAAAAAAAAATTTGCCCATATCAAATGACACAGCACTTTCATAGGAATAGAAGATATGTTGCTGCCTCAAGCAAAATTTCTCCTTAATTTTAAGTCTAGCAAAAAGAATCAATTTCTTTAAAAACATGAAAAGAAGAAGAATTTTTTTTAATTTTATTTGGGTTAATAGATTTACAAATGGAACTCATTTTAGAATGTAAAAAAATTAGCAGACCAAAAAAACTTAATTTACAGTTGAATTTAATTTGGTATAACATAACGGGTCATGTTTATATTAATTTCTTTAATTTCCCTTCAACATAAAAAAAAACATTTTCTGTCTACAGTGGAACAAAATTTCTTTAATTTAATCAAAAAAGTTTGTAATCCCGAGAAAATTATTTCGGTTTAATTCAGACATTTGGTTAAAAAAGAATAAAGCATTGTGCAATATTGAGATGGAAGTGATACAAAAAAATTTTTTTAAACAATTTCAAGGAAAATAATTAAAAATATGAAATAAACATTTTTTCATCATATCTCACCCTACTGCATTCAGACACAATTTGATGATGCATAGACAGTTGAAATTATTTTTTTTAACGATTCTATCCACAAGAATCTTAAACAAACAGAGGAAAGAATTTTTATTAATATAGTTCAGTAGTGAAAATAAGTTTGAGAAGTGTGTTTGGTGATATTGGACTAGTGAGCATTTTATTAAGAGTATTGACAACATTTATTACACATCTCATGGTACCCATATGCTCAAAATGTGCTCAATTCGATGAATATAGAGCAGCTTTAATACAAATAATAAAAGTTTAATCTATTCATCTCGACAGCCATTCAAAACTACAAATCTCACCTCTAAACCTCCAAAAAACATATTCAGTAAATTGAACATAAGGAAAAACATGCATGCATTAAAAATATCGAGTGGTTCTACTAGCACTTGAACATTCATTAATGATTCCCAAAAAGAATGAGCGCATCACGAAGAAACATATGTGCAACATGCATTCATTAAAATAATATTTTTCTCTTTCTCATTTCATTTCTTGTTATGTCTCTTATGTCTGAGAAAATAAATAAAAAAAAACTATGTGCACTCATTTCATTCATTTTTGTGAGGTCGTGCAGTTAGAAATGTAAGAGAATACACGGAAGTATGCATTAGAGAAGAATCGTTGCAATTTCTTTTTCACAATTTTAATATGAAATAAATCACTCATATTGTGTACATATTGTGAATTATGGACATAATATAAATTAGAATAATTTATATGGGCAGTTTCCAGTTGTGCTACTTGAATTACAAAATTGTGTTGCGCATAATATGTGATCATTCAAGTGATAAATTGTATTCTAATGGTAATTCCCTTTTATTGCTGTTACAAATTGGAATTGCTAAAGAGATGTTGTGTATATGATATGTAAAGAATTCAATAAATTTTATTTCGTGCAGTCGGAAGCTCAGTACATAAAGACAATGTGATGTGGGTATTGTTTAGTATATGAGGATTAATTGTGTAATTTTCAAACGATGTTTCATTGGAATTGAGAGGGATAAAGGTATTAGATACTAAGTTTGGTGTTTTATGCATTGTTTTGGCGAAATTTTGGTTTCAAATAATTTTGCAGTTTAAGCTGGTCAAAGAATCACAGCTAGGGAAACTTAAATTAATAAATCTTAAATTAATTCAAAACGAAAAATGTGCAAAATTTTGACAAATTAATTCATTCTCTCAAATTTCGATCTACCAAAAATCACGACTACATGCATCTAAATAATAAAGATCAATTTAATCTTCATCTAAATTGTTTTATAAAATCAACATCCGAAACAACAACTCGTGTATAAGAAAACAACAGTTATTGAATAATTCACGAAGAAGGAAAAAATCATTTTGAAATTCACATAAATCTGAACTTTATTGAATTTAAAAAATCTTTATGAAATTCAGATTCAGTGTTTATTGATTGTAAAAAGTACAGTTGAGATCTCACTTTACAATCGTCGAGAAAAAACAAATTAAATTGAGATTGAACGAGCAGAGATGAATGGGTTAAGATGCAATATTGTTTTTATGGCAGCTACTTCTTCATGACATCTCACAATCTGTCATCCGTAAAGTTTATTCTTTGAGCTGAATTTAAGAGATTTTCGATGAAAAATGATTGCCGGTTTATGAGAAAGGAACTGTAAAACATGTGTTGAGTCAGATTCTGTGATATTCTGTCATCAATATTCGTTTGCAATTTTAAATTTTTGGAAATTTACATTTTTGTCGGATTAAAGATTTCAAATAATTTAAATTCAATCTTTATTCGAGTTCATGACCTCATTTTGCATTTTATTGTGTTTTCACTTGAACTTTTCATTCCATCCACGTTGTATTAGCCTCACTTAAAAACTCTCAATATAATTGACAACCCGCAATGAATAAAATAATTTCCAAGTCAGCTCATTTCTCTCAAATTCTTATTATTTTTTATGATAATGTCAAAGTTCCTGTGGAAGTAAATTTTTCTCCACATCATCATCATCATCATACTAATAATAATATTAAAGAAATTCATCTTGAGAAATATTATCAGCATAATAGTAACAATAATAAATATCTATCCCAATAAAAATGAAGATGACATCGTTGACATCAATTGCGTGATTATGTGAAAATAGAACAATTGAGGAAATATTTCAATCGTATTTTATATCTTCTTTGTGCATTGTTGAAGATCTGGAATGAAGCATAGAATCAGTGGTTTTTCCTACATACTAGAGCAGATTGTCTTCGATGAATCTTTTCCTTCTACTTTGTCACTATTTAAAAATGTCACTTGAATTAACATCACTAGCTTAATCGAAAACCTGAAAATAATTATTATTCATATTTTAAAGAACCTTTTGGATTAACCGAATTTATTCGTTCCCATTACAGAACAATTTATTAAAATTAATTCAATCTGGTCAAACTAGTACAAATTTTATATTTTATATCATACTTGCATAACAACAAATCATCATGTACTTAAACTCTTTCTTTTCTATATTTTCATTTCAGACATACGGACACATAAATAAGATGATAGTATAGTTCATGTATGACATAAAAATAAGATGATGATAAAAAAAGTACAGAAAAGTCTAAGAAAATTATGTGCATAACTAGAAGAAAACGTAGAAGAAGAGGAAGAAGACGATCTAATTGAGGTGGTGGAGTGAAATAAAAATAAAAGTTTATAGCACATAATAAGTGAAAAGAAAATAAGAAATTAGTGATGATATAATGTTTGTGACAAATTACATTGTGAAGCATTTAATAAATACTAATCAAAGAAAATGCAAATCTGTGAAATGGAAGAGAAAAAAAGAAATAATGATGTGTATAGTTGAGGATTAAGAGACTCGTGTCATAAATTAAAATAATAATAATTTTTTATATATGAAAAAAGCAAAAGAAAAATAGAATCGTGAATGTTTATTTGTTCTGAATGATGACACAACGTTTGAAGCTCTTTTATGGATTATTAGGAGCTGTTGTTGGTCTCTGCATTGGAACATTCTTAAAAAGCTTCAATACTATGGAGACACTCAGTCGATGTGATATGTTTACTGTGCCAACTGTTCAGTTTAAATGTAAGTTATAGTTCATACAAGACTGCTTAAGATTAAAAACTTAAAATTATGAAAATATAGAAATTTTAATTCAAGTGACACAAAATTTCTACTTTGAATCTATCTATGAATCCCAACTTGATTCCATCAGGCTGTTTTTGCCTGCGTCATGTTGATTGGTTAACATTTGCTTAAGTCAAGTTGAATGAACTATTTTTTCTTAATTGATAAAACATTTCACGTTAAAACTCATATAGTTGTGTCTATGAAGCCAATAAGCACCGTAAGAGAATCTTTACTTTGTTTCATTATCGTATGGGTGTGAGATTTTTAGCACTTGGATTACATTGGTCGCTCACCTTAGTTAAAATAAGATGAAAATGAAAAGCTACAAAAATATCATTTAACCCGAGTATGTTCTTGCCTGCCTCACTAATTATGAACAACAGTCAAGTGAATTGCTGCTGGTTTCATTAAATTTAACATTTTGCCATCAACAAAACAGAGAGAAAACTTGTAATTGTTAATAAATTAAGGGCTTAAGTTTTGATGGAGCAAAAATTTCTCATGCGAATAATGCAGACGAAAATAAAATAAAAATAAAATTTTATGTGATTTCCGCAATGTTGCCTTGATGCAAGGAGTGGACAGTAAATGATAATAAATAAGTGAGTTTCTTAGTAAATTCTAGTGACCATCAAAATTAAACAAATGAAAATCAAAAGATATAAGTTATAAAAGTCAAATAAACCTGTTCAATTTTTAATCATGAAAAATCATTAAAAATAGGCCAAATATTTTAATTCTAATGTTTACCTTTGCGGTTGTAAGCAATAAAATGTAGAACCAAAAATTTGCCTTGTGTTAATTTGAAATAATTAAGCAGTCAAATAACAATAATGAGAAAGTAAATATCTTAAAATATAAACAATGAATTTAATTAACACTTTCATAATATTGAATGAAGATGTCTGAAAATTGTTATTTTGTTGCCAGATCAAAAAGAAAAATTTTGAGCTCGTGTTAGGTTTGCAATGATAATAGTTTTGAATAATTTATGCCAAGTCAAGCTAGCAAAAAAAGTCGATTTCTTGCTTTTTTTATTAAATATTTTAAATATTCATTAATGCCGTTTATCTGGTTTTCGTCTATTTTGATACTACACCTATTAGTTTTATTTCCACAGCCAGGGAACATTTTCAACTCGAATTAATGAAACAATAATTTAATCAACTTTGAACCTATTCATAAAATCAAAACTAATTCAATTGCGAGAAACCTGCATTATAGCTGAAATATGATATCATCTCATACTTGGTAGCATATGCATTTTAAGTATTATAGCAGGAGAAGTTGAATAAAACATTCAGAACTATTAAACTTAATTTAAAACTTTCAATTGAATGATTTCGACATTTCTGAGTAGTTTTTGAGAATTTCCGCTTTAAGTGCTTCAGAACAGTAGTGTTTAAGAACTGATTTAAAAGATTTATAGAACGTCCAATGATTAATTGTGATTACTCAACTGAATCGAAATTCTGACCGGATTATTCATGGAAATGTTTTTTATGAATATCAAATCGAAAATTTAGCTTGTTCACACGATTGTTTTTCAATTGACATGTATATATATCACTTGATATACTTCATCATCACTAGGAGATTGAAGTCAAAAGTCTTGTAAAAAAAAGTAACTTACTCCGAGTTGAAAACATCTTTAAGCTGCCAAAGAAGTAAAATCGAATTTAACACAACCGGAAAGACATCAAACAAAGTTTCATAAAACATTTTTCCTAATTGATTTTGTCGAAAGAATAATTTATTATCACTCCTTGCAATTTACCCCATAAAATTTTATTTTATTTTTTCCCGTTTTATGATTTTTGTAAGACATTCAGCCATCAAAGGCAACATAGAGTGAATCTTTTCAATTCTTTCTATACCAAAAAAAGACTTGTTTTATGTTTAAGACTCTTAAATTAAGCATAAAAATGCATCATGAATGTCAAATAACATCAAAAACTGTACATAAGCCAGATGATTTTCTTTATTATTTTAACATGCTTTGATTGATGCTTCATGCCTTCTTGAAAATTTTTTTATTCCTTCTCTTTTTGGAGACGAGACAATTAAGAAGTTTCATATTTTTCTTTATGGGAAAGAAAGATTGAAATTCTTAGAAGATTTCATTTACACAATTTAAGTGGAATGAAAAACAAAGCGAAATTAAGAATTCACATGTGTAAAAATGTTTAACGAGTCTTTCTTCACACTTTATGACTAATGCATTTGGGTTCTTCATAATGATGAAGTTGTAGAAATATGATTGTAGATTGACATCTTCAATTTTAAAAAAACTGCAGATATTGTTCCAAAGTAAACTATATGCTGGATTGTTTCTACAGACTTAGTTTTCACTTGTTGGTATCTAAAAATATCAAAGCCTTAGTACATCAGCTGATCAATTCATAACATAAATACTCAAATTACACAATCAGTTTCACTTTGTTGACCTATGCGACATTTGTTTTATGAATATTACCCAACTCAAATGCGATTCGTGGACATTCAAAATGATTAATAACTGAAAACATGAGATGAATGTTAAAGTTTAAAAACGTGTTGTGTGCGTGTAATGAAAACATTTGATTATTATTTTTTCCTCCTCGCTGAAACGCATAAATTATCACTAATCTTGTCAAATGAATGAAAATATGAAGTTCCATTGAGAATAGAAAAATTTGTTTCAATTTCTTGTGTGTCTTAATAATATCAAATTTCATGAACTTTAAACTCGTAATTAATTTTCCAGACTCTACTTTTTGGATGAAATTTCGTCAGCTTCATTTATTCCTATTAAATTAATTCATTAACACTCATTTTAAACTTAACTAGTTCATCAAAAAAATATAATTAAAATAAAAAAATTAAATTAGCTAATACCAAAATTTTCGTTAATGATGCATGGCAAATATACCGTTGACTTTAATCCTTTCATTCTTATTCTATTTCCAGCGCCCTTAGATATAATTAATTTAACTGCAGAAGAGACGATATTGAATAGTCAAAGAAATTTAGTGTTTGTCGGTGTTATGTCATCCAAAGATTTTCTGGAAACGCGAGCGAAGGCTGTATATGAAACATGGGGAAAATCAGTACCCGGAAGGATAGCATTCTTTAGTTCAGAAGGTTCATCATGTGATGGTTAGTATTAAATTTTAGATCGATTTGATTCTGAGAATATTTCTAAATTAAAAGTCGTAGGATGAGCCCTTGAGAAAATTTTAAGAAATTTAGATCAAATTCCACTTTATTAAACATAAATGAATGAAGGCAGCAAAATTCAGATAAAATTTTCCCAGGGATACATTACTCACTTCACAACATCATAATCGGATGTAGAATATTACGCGGTTGATTTATGACAATTCTAAAAGAGTCTTAATAATTAATCATTACGCAATTCATCATCATGAAAATTAATAAGCATGTAAATTTATAGTTCCGATATTTTAATTCCTTTTCTTCTTCTTATTTTTCACATAATGAAGATCTTCCAGTCGTCGCATTGCATGGCGTCGACGATCGTTATCCACCACAAAAGAAGTCATTCATGATGTTGCACTACATGTATGAGCATTTCATTGATAAATTTGAATGGTTTCTTCGTGCTGACGATGATGTTTTCATTAAGCCTGATAAGCTTGAGAAATTTTTGAGACGCGTCGACTCAACAAAGGCACAATTCATTGGTAAGATTCGTTATTTATCTTAATTTTTAAGATAGAATAAAAAATTTCATTCATTATTTTCGCATTAGGACAAGCCGGTCGTGGCAACAATGAAGAATTTGGACTTCTCTCGCTGGAGTATGATGAAAATTTTTGTATGGGTGGTCCGGGTATCATCATGAGTAGACAAACTCTAAAACGAGGTATGAATTTCTTTGTTTATATTAATGTAGGAAATTTAAAAATTTAAAATAATTTAATTTGATTTCCAGTCGCTCCACACATTCCGACATGTCTTAAGAATCTCTATAGTACACATGAAGATGTTGAAGTGGGACGATGCGTACAAAAATTTGCAGGCATCCCATGTACATGGAATTATGAGGTAATAAAATAGAGTTTACGATGACAGACTTCATTCATAAATCCTAATTATTTAAATTTCAATTTTAGATGCAATCAATCTTTCATCACAATTCGAGTGGGATTCGAGCATTTTCTAGTAATCTCAAGAAGAAAGAAGTTCACAGTGCCATCACACTTCATCCGATAAAAAGATCCCCACTAATGCATCGAATGTATGCTTATTATCTTGGACTGTTATCACAAGAGCTGCGACAACAATCCCTATACTTACACCGAGATATTGCTCAAATGATTAGTCTATTACAAATTCCAAAGTCGCACCATATGTTAGCACACGGCGTTCCTTTATTTCGTGAAAATGATAATTTTAATTTTTTAGATGATCATGATATTCTAGGTCAGTAAATATTTAAGCTTTTAAATATGTCGTAAAGCTTTTGCTATCTTTTTAAATATATTTCCTTAAAAATTATTGAAGTTTAATTCTTAAAATTTGAGAAATTTACAAAAAACTTTTTCAAGTGAAGAAAACCACGTGGTTTTAAAGTTTGAAATCAAAAAAACCGTTATATTTTTTTAAAAATAAAATTTTCTAATTTTTGCATTATATCATTCAAATTCCATTCAGTTGTTGATTTTCAATGAGCAAATGACATCTTGTGCTAGATTTTATACAGTAAATTATTCACTAATTCCTCCCTTCTTTGCCTTTTAGGTAATAATCCAAGTCTGAACCGACACATCCCAGAGAATCTCAAAGAGATAATTGAATGGGATTTTCTTGCCAAAAGTATTTATTCAGCAGCACATTCAAATCCAAAACGTAAAATGGAATCGGCATTGAAAGAGGGCCTTGACGATGTGATAAGAGAGATTATGGAAAATATCAATACATATTCACGACAACGCGGTCGTGTAATTGAATATAGAGAAATTCTTTACGGATATTCACGTGTCAATCCAATGCATGGACATGATTTAATATTAGATCTTCTATTAGTATATAAGAAATATCGTGGTAAGAAAATGACAGTTCCAGTACGGAAGCATTTATATGTTCAACGTTCGTTTACTGAGACTAGAATAAGAGAAATTGTTGATGATCCTGAAATTGCTTATCGTGATTTTGGTATGTGCAATAAGTTATAATCCTGAAATTAAAAACCTAAATTGAACCTTTAATTTCCAGTGCAAAACAACTCGACAATCTTGAGGTTCACTGACAAAATGAAGTCAATATTTAACGAAAAACTAAACAAATTCAGTGAATATTACAGTTCACAGGGGAAGAGACCTAGAATGCCAACCGAATCCACTAATTCTGATAAAATAATCTTTGTCCTTCCACTATCTGGACGGTATGAGACGTTTTTAAGGTTTTTAAATAATTTCGAGGATGTAAGTTGATGATTTTAAATTAAATCTTTAGACCCAAAACATTAATAATGTCTTATCTTTTAGGTGATTCTCCGCAATAATGAAAATGTTGATCTCATAGTCTCACTATTTATTGAGAGCACAGATCCAAAAGTATCACTTCTGCTGCAAATAGTTGATGATCTCAATAGGAACTATAGTCGAAGAGCAATCATCACAATAAAGCTTTACGGTGAATTCTCACGAGGTGTGGCAATCGATCGAGCAATACAGTCAGGTCACATAAAAGATCATGATATAATATTTTTAATTGATGTCGATATACTTTATTCGTCATTGACATTGAAACGAATACGTCAGAATACGATAAAGCATAAGCAAGTCTACTTGCCAATTGTATTTAGTGAATACAATCCGGAACTCGTGTCAGCTATTCCAACACCTCCAAATATGCATTTAGATAATGAAAACTTTTTATTTGACTACAGACGAATGGAAAAAAATTATCAATTTTATGCAAATCAATCAACAATTGTTAATAATGAGAGTGGATATTTCCGTGAATTTGGATACGGTCTCGCATCCATTTATAAATGTGATATAATGAATAATAAAATTAATGGATTTGTAACTGATATAAAAGGATGGGGATTAGAAGATGTTAAATTTTTAGAAAAAATTCTTACGGCAAGCCATCAAATCCAGAATCAATATTTGTTGTCCATAGCCGAAGGCAATGAATTTAAAAACATATCAAATTTTAATTTAAATATATTTCGATCGCCTGATCCATCACTCATACATATCTTCCATCATATAACGTGTGATAAAAATTTAGAAAAGAATCAGTATAAAATGTGCCTTGGCACTAAATCCAATACACTTGGCAATTTTCGATTACTGAAAGAGAAATATTTTATTAAAAATAATTTTATGGGATTTGTGGGTCGAGTGAAGGAAGTTATTGCCAATTAGGAGATATGAAAATTGTCATTTTTCACTGTCAATTTTGGGTCCAATTTTAGAATTATGTCCAATTGTATCTCATACTTATGAATTACCTATCTACCTTATGCGAATAGTTTCTTAGAAATTTACTGACGTCTCCACAATTGCCAATGCTCTACGTTATTATTTTTAATTTAAAATTATTCTACTTATTTAAGTCATTAGATAGACAATAAAATTAAATAAATAAATGTAATTTGGGACTATGAACTTTCAATATTAAGTTAATTCTAAAAAAAAGGTAGCCTGTTAATTTGAAAACTACAATCTATTTGAAAATGTGCCTTATAATTTTTTTGATGAGTTTTCTGTTTTGTATGAAAAAATTTAAAGTTTTAGACAAATAAAAAAATGTTAAATTTAAGTTTTTTGGTTCTTATAAAAAGTTCAATGAAATACTCGAAAAAAATTATAGTAGCAAATTTTTTGGAATCAATAAATAAGCAAATTGAATGAGTAATTAAAAACTTCCAAAAAAAATATGTTTGAATTATTTTAAATTTGCAGTTTTGTTCAGATTTAAGCAACAGATGACAGCAAGTCTACCTTAGAACCTACCAGGTTATATCAACTTCAATCCCAAAACTCTTCTAGGAAGTAAATTTAAATTCCTCGCTACAATAACTCGTCACATCCTATTACGCAATTTTCGTTGATTTTAATGAATATTCACAATCTAATTTTTTTCTTCATTTCATTCAACAAATTATTTAATTCAACAAAAATTTTATCACGACTCATTTAATTCAATAATGTCGCGTCAAATGAATTTTTTTTACAGCTGATAATGTGAGAATGTTTATTTTGTGCAAAATGTTTATAAAGCATGAGGAATCAAATTTGATCACTTTGGAATCTTGAAACTTGAGAATCATATTATGGCCACCATGATTGTATGATTGGGATGCAAGTGAAAAATTAGAGCAAATATTCGCATTTTGGGTGTTTAATGGAGAAAGGAAAATTTCAAGGAATCATCCATGTCTCCCAAAAATGCGCTCTAGTCATTCAAAAATTCCTCAAAATTATTTTTTGCAACAAATATAAACTTAACTACATAGAAACACAGCACCAAGTAACCTCAAGTGATATCACAGTCATAGAATATATCAGTAAGCGTTCTATAATTCATAAAGTCAGACGTGCCGCTCAAAACATTAAAAACATTGCCTTTGAGTCGCAAATTTATTGATTATTTTCTTTTCTTTCTAATATTATGAATGAAAAATTAACCACTCATGTGGAAATAACGTTTGTAAAAATAGCAACGACTTTCGTGCAGTCTACAACGATTAGGAAGTGAAGGAAAAACATTTTCACTTTTAATATTTTCAAGGAGAATTTATTCACTTTTAAGTGGCGAATGAAATTAAATTAAAACCCGCAAAAACAAAATAAGGAAATAAGAATTTTATCATCTGACTGCCACATTTTCTTATCAAAACCTCCTAATTGACTCAATTTTTCAATTCAGCCACACATTCTAAAATAGTTTTCACACATTTCAGTAGACTGCAAGTTGCCAAATAGAAAAGAACAAATTTTGTGTGAATTTATAAATGAGAAAGAGATGATCGAACTTAGTGAGAATGAGTGTCTGACGATCGTGAGAAAAGCAACGGGAAATGAAAATGTGAAAATTGAAAATTTCTCTGCTGAGCAGTTCGGTGATTTTTTGGGATTTCTTGGTGAATATTATCGATTAAAAATCACAGCTAAGGTTGATAACTCTGCAGATCAAGACTTACAATTTTTCGTCAAGAGTCTTCCTATCATCGACATGAGAAGCCGTCGACAAGAATTAATTGAAACTGGAATTTTTCGTAAAGAAATGAAAATTTATGAAAATTTACTTCAAAAATTGGTGGAATTTGACAAACTTCATGATGATAATGAGATGTGGTGTCCAACAATTTATTTAGTTCGTGATGATCTGATTGTTTTTAATGATCTTACAATTATTGACTATAAAATCCTTCCATTCTCAACTTTCGACTTTACACAGCAACATGTGGAAGCGACTCTGAAATCTCTGGCAAATTTACATGCTTGCAGTATTGCTTATGAAAAGAAAGAGAAAATTTCAATTGGAAAAGAATTCAGCGACATTCTTTTTGAGACTTCAATCACAGACATTCCGTGGTTTACAGCCGGGTTAGAAATCATCAAAATCATAGCCAGAGATGAGTTTGGAATTGAAAATTCTGATGAATTTTACGACAAAATTTTTGGTGTCATTGAAGTCATGGAAAAATCTCCGTTTGATGTCCCAAAAGTTTTGTGTCATCGCGACATTTGGAAGAACAATTTGATGTTTGGAAATGATCCTCTCAACTGTGTTTTAATTGACTTTCAAACATCTCGCTATCTTTCATTATCTGTTGACGTCACAATGGCAATAGTTTGCACAACCAAAAGGGCTCATTATGAGGATATGATGAGCTATTATCTTCAGTTTTATTATCAGCAACTTGAAATCAAATTGTCTAAGTTTTCTATCGATCTAAAAGCTTTAATGAATTTTAATATATTTGTGCAAAGCTGTGAATATTACAAAAAAGTAAACTTAGTTTACAAATCATCTGTTGTATCTTTAACCCAAGTGCCTCAAGAACTATTCCAAAATTTTACTGAAGATGATTATAAGGAATTTGCATCTGGTGATCGATATAGTTTAGTAAAGACGTTTATGGAACAAGATGAGACATTGAAAGAACGACTGATTGATGCTGTTGGTGCGATAGTTGAAGAATTCAAGGATAAAAAATGACGTAATAAATGCTGCCTTAAAATGATGAATTTCGTCTATAAGATTTTATATTAAATAAAAAGGAATAAAAATAAAAATTATATATCAAAAAATATGAATCTAGTGTAAACTTTATTTGAAATTAAAATTTCAACATTCTTAATCCATCAGCCAAAAGTATTATTTTAAAAAATTTTCAGATTTTTTTTTAACATTTTGTAGGTGAAACAACCGCGCTCATGTTTACATTACCGGCAAATCAGATGACCTTGTCGTGAGCACATGCTTTATAGCTTTGTGTTTGTAAAATAAAAAATTGTAGCTGTATTGAGAACAACTTTTTTTCACATCTGTAAGAAAAATGAATGAAATTTTAAAAGTTTATTCACACAACTTTAATTTTGATCAATTTCCAACACAAGAAAATAAAAATGTGTTTTCAATACATGTGGAATTTCTGAATCACATAAAAAATTGTTTATATTTTGGTTTATTAAGGTACAAATCGGAAATACGCAAAAAATGTAAACAAAACAAACATTGCGTCATTTTCTCTGGAATTCGAGATAGACTTTAATTGGATTAAAGTCTGAGTAAATAAAATTCAATAATTGTCTATTTAAGTAATTAAGATATGAACCAGAACCATGCTTAAAATATTAGGAATTTAAACATTGAAAAATAAATATCTTTTTTGCTTCATAACTATGCTGATTATTTAATTTTTTTGATCACAAAACTCATCGATGACAGCTTCAACTGACTCCAAAATTCTCTGTTTAAACATTGCATCTTTATCCATAAATCTTTTAACCAATCTCCATCGATCTCCACCCAAATATTCAACATGATCTTCTTTACTAAAATCATTAAACAATTCTTCAGGAACTTGAGTTTCAGTTACAACTAATGTCTTGTAGACCAACATAACCTTTTTATGATATTGACAGCTTTTAAGAAAATTTTGATATTTCATGATATTTTTCAAATTTATTGAAAATTTTGACAATTTACTTTCAAGTTGCTGATGATAAAACTGAAGATAATAGCTCATCATATCCTCATAATGAGCCCTTTTGGTTGTGCAAATGATTGCCATTGTGACGTCAACAGATAATGAAAGATAACGAGATGTTTGAAAGTCAATTAATATGCAGTTGAGAGGATCATTTCCAAACATCAAATTGTTCTTCCAAATGTCGCGATGACACAAAACTTTTGGAACATCAAACGGAGATTTTTCCATGACTTCAATGACACCAAAAATTTTGTCGTAAAATTCATTAGAATTTTCAATTCCAAACTCATCTCTGGCTATAATTTTGATGATTTCTAACCCGGCTGTAAACCACGGAATGTCTGTGATTGAAGTTTCAAAAAGAATGTCGCTGAATTCCTTTCCAATTAAAATTTTCTCTTTCTTTTCATAAGCAATACTGCAAGCATGTAAATTTGCCAGAGATTTCAGAGTCGCTTCCACATGTTGCTGTGTAAAGTCGAAAGTTGAGAATGGAAGGATTTTATAGTCAATAATTGTAAGATCATTAAATACAATCAGATCATCACGAACTAAATAAATTGTTGGACACCACATCTCATTGTCATCATGAAGCTTCTCAAATTTCACAAATTTTTGAAGCAAACTTTCATAAATCTTCATTTCCTTACAAAAAATTCCAGTTTCAATTAGCATGTCTCGGCGATTTCTAAAGTCAACGATTGGCAAACTTTTGACAAAAAATTGCAAATCTCGAATTTCACAAGAATTAATTCTAACGGTGATGATAAGTCGATAGTATTCACCGAGATATCCTAAAAAGTCACCAAAACGCTTGGTTGAATAATTAAGAATGTTGAAGCTATTTGGTCCAATAACTTTTTTTGCTATGGTTAAGCACTCGTTCTCTGTTAATTCTACCATTATAACAATATTTCAAAATTGTCCGTCTTGTCTTAACAATCGTTCAATAGATACTGAAGATTTATAATAGTGCGATGCTGGATTTTTGGTGCCAAAATTGAGAGAAACTTTAATTTTTATGTCTTTGCTCTCAAATTTCAAAAATAAACTGAGATTATTTTTGCTATTTCTTTACTGAGACCAAGAATTGTTCTAATTCGAATATAAATGTTCAAGGTTACCAAAAAATGTTTTGCACACGTGTGACGTTTGAAAATACCATCGATTTTCTTCATCACTGATTTTAGCGAGAATATTTAAATTTTTACGATGCAGATTCTCGCTTTAAATATCAAACCTGATCTTTGATAATTTTTATGAAATTTCTCTTGACGTCTTTTTTATTAATGCGGAATCGGAACAAAAAAGAATTGATTTTTTTGAATATTTATAAGGAGCATCGGCTTATGAAAATCCGATACTTTTATAACATGTTTAGAAAACTTTCAAAATTTATTTATTTTTTGTTGACATTTTAAACATTAAACAGAGTTTACAAGTCAAATAGTTGGACCTGAAGGGAATGCCACTTGTCAACTCTACTCTCAACTAAAGTTCTATTTCTTTAATTTCTTTAATATAACATAGCTTTTTTACTTTGGATATCCATTCACTTATTTTTTGTTTTGCAAAAAGCTTTACGTCTGCAATATCATACAGCTCACTTTTGTAGAGCTTGCGGAAGATCTTTGTTTCCTCTACAGTTGTAAAGATTGCACTTCGAATCGATGAAAAGAGCCTTCCACAATTGTCTGAACATTTTGATTCTTTTAACAACTAAAATTATTTAATAGATGCTAATTCTTATAATTGGTTTCTTTAATTAATTAGACCTGATAACTTACCAGCTTATCCACACAAATTCTAGCCTTTTTCTTGAATTCACAATCTTTCAGATAATCAATAAATTTTCCAACATAATCTATAGCTTTCCTATGAAATCTTTCACAATGTCGATAGCTGTCGTCAATTTTTGTAATTGTTGTTCCAGTCAAATTTACAATTTGTTCCACAAATGGCTTGAATGTTGGAATTACTTCGTATAAATGCGAGCGGACACATGACATGTTTGCATTATAAACATCCCAGATCTTTTCAATTTCCACTTCAAATCGTTCTCCAAATTGTGCAAAATAAATTACTGGAGGCGATGAATCCAGTAAACCTCCAGAAAAGATTTCATTTAGTGCTGTTTCGGGTAAATTTTCAATACCTTTTAATAAATTTGATGTTTTTTCGCAGACTGCAAAGAAGACATGTTGAAGCTTTCTATCGAAGTTGTGGATCTTATAGTTTGCACACATGTGGGTCCATACTTTATGAAGATTTTCATATGGCTCTCGATACTTCGAAATCTTAGTCAAAATTGCTTTATAAATCTCAAAAAATGATTTGTCAATTGCAAATTTTGACTCTCTTTGAAATTCTTTATATGTGAATCTAAGAACCATCAAATGTTCATCAATGATTCGATTTTCACAAGAAGCGAATGAAAAAATTAAAATAATTAAAGACACAATATTCAATTTACTTATCATTTTGAGTCAATTCTATTCGTCAAATATTAAAATAAAACTAAGTATATTAATGAAAAATTTATTACATCGGAAGTGCCATTGGATTTTAACATTTCCTGCATTTCTATAGTTTTTATATTTGTTGCTATTTAATTTCAATGAACTTAAAAAATTAGAATTTTGTGAAAAACATTAAGTTAAGCTCGAAATATTCCAGATGTAAAAATAGTTTAATACTTTTATTAGCTTTCGGGATTTACCGTCTAGAGATATTTTTATTGTTTGGATCAAATCATTATTAACCATTCAGGAACATTTCGTTATGCTCTGTCACTGTTACAATTCAATATTTTCATTTTATGACTAGAAAATTCCACTTATAATTCAGCCATTGAATTTTCCATCATCGTCAGAAATGAATTGACAGTCAGTCTTTTCTCTGTTTCCAGTTTTAGTATATGATGACAAAATTATTAATTTGAACTAATGAGACCTTATTGAATCAATTAGTTGAAATAGATTTTTTTATGAAAATTTGCGCTTAATAATATTCACTCACTTTGAGTTTGATTTAAGTTTATTTTTAAATTGCGAGAGAATTGAAAATTGTTGATATTTCAAATATGTGCTAAAAATTTATCATTTTTAATCCTTGATTTGTTTATTTTTCAATTCCATATATTTATTTTACAAACACAACTTTGCTATGGACGACCTTGATCAAATGTTTTCTTTCGATGCTTTAGTTTACATATTGAAAATAATTAATAGATTTTTAATTTGCACACTGTTCATTGTTCAGTTAATTCAAACAAATCTTGAAATTCAAAGAAAATTGCCGGCACGAAAAATTATGTTTTGCAAAAGAGTTGAGTGACATCTTTTACAATTTTTAAATCTATTTTATCAATATCATTACGATTGCAAACAGGTTTTAAAAATACATTAAAAAATTATTTAATATTTTCGTTCTTAGGAACATATGTAGAAGTTCCCAAAAAAAAAAAAAAAAAATTTGAGAGCATCATCTTCATCACTAAACCTGTGTTTCAAAAGAATTTATAACATCACTGATCGCTCTGAGAAATTATTTTACGTAAAATTTCGTATTAAAGAAAACTGAGAACTTGAAAAAAGTTTCAGTGTCGCTCGAAGTTTCAGTGAAGATAGTCGCTTTTGAGCGCTGTTAATCAAAAATATATTTTTGTTCGTTTCATAGAAACAAGTTTTTTTACGTCAGTTGAAGCTTTATGAATTGACACAGCACGTTCACATATCATTTTTGTGTTAATCTTTCGAAATAATTGTCATTAAATTGTAAGAAGAAAGTTCTTGCCAATTTTATTTAATCGTTGTTTTTAAGGTGAGTCCATAATTCTATTCTATGACTAATAATGATTAAATTAAATTTAATTCTAGAATAAAATTACCATCTTCATTAAAACTATGTTATCAGATGAAGAAAAATTTTCATTAAATCCAATAAAAGTGACAATCCTCAATGGAGCAGCCGTAAGTTAAAGAACAAAACAATTTGTAGTATGTGTATTTAAAAATCTACATTTTTGAATTAATAGCTTGTTGATATAAGACACCAAGACTACGAAAACTCAGAATATTTTTCATTCAAGCGGCTTATGAATAAGTCGTACTTTCAAGATCGCAGCTTTTTGACAAAATTTGTCAAAACAAGATTTAAATTTTTTAATCGGCCGAGCCCAAATGACTTTAGTCCATTCGAGAAGTTGCTTGTCTCAAATGAAGATAAATCAGCTATAATCAGTTTATTGATAAGATCTTTCAATTTATGGAATAATGCAGACTTTTGGACAAAAATGGTGAATCTTGAAGAGATTATGAAGCACTACGCAATAAACAGAGATGCCAATGTTAAGAATTTATTTAGTATTTTAATCTATGATTGGCACTGCCCAAAAGATGAATCAACTAATTATTGTTTGTCTGAAAAGTTTGAAGCTTATGCACTGTCTGGTGAATCACTGTTTACAAAGTTGTACAATATTATTGATAGTGAGGATCATCAAGGATATAATCGCATTTGTTTACGAATAATTTATCAATATCTGCATGAAAGACTGAATACAATTGAAAATTTCTACGAGAAAACATTATTTCAAGACATAATAACTCATACAGTCAGTGATGCTCTAAAAATTCAAAATGAGGAATATAAAATTCAAATCCTTAAAATTCTCACAGTGTTCTTGGACAATACCGGAGATGATATCTACAAACATTTAAAAGAACAAATTTCGGAAAGTGTTAATTATAAATTTGAATGTCATTCAGTTTATAGAATATCACTTGATGCTATCGAAAAGCATTGTGATGAAAAATTCTTTAAAATTGCCTTTTTACTCAAAGAAAATCGACTTAAAAGATTTGAATTTGAATTTGAGGATTTTATTAAAACATATCAAAAGTATTATGGTGAATATTGGAAAGTAGCTATTAAACCGAATGCTAGATTACTTTATCACATCTGCGAAGAACAGTGCGAGAAGAAATTGCTTAAAACTGTTGAGTTCATATTCCACAAATGTCCTTTCATCGAACTTAATTCGACCATCCTCACAACATTTGAAGAAGTGGCTGATTTTGAAGCAATTTTTAATGAGCCATTAAGTAAATGCGAGGAAGAACTTCTCGTAAGTTTTAGTATTACTAAGGAACGTCATTGCAATACCTAGCAATGACAAGAGTTCAGAAAATCTCATAAAACTTTTTAAATTATTTTCATTCTAATTCAGGAAAATGTCTACAAATTTTTCGAGAAAGATTTTATTCAGTGTATGGATGAGTTTATGAAACAAAGCCTGCACAACAAAAAAATGACCCGCAAATTACTATTTGGTCGAAAAAGTGTTTACGAGAAGAGCCTGCTAGAAGAAATTTTATCACAACCGAGACTTTATTCAATTCTTGGTGACATTTGGAAGAAATTTCATCTTTACTCAAAACCTGAATTGCTGACTTTGGTATTTATTCTAACATATTTTAGATGACAAAATTAATTAATCAATTCGAAATGTTTTTACAGAAAAATCACATGGGAAAACCATTAATACAGCACGCATTCGAGGCAGGTGTTAATCAAATGGTCGCCTTTCTTAATCTTCCAATGAACCACAAGACAGAAGACTTTAATAGACCAAAGTATTACATGGTCATGCAAAATTCCCAAATTTATTCATTAACTGAAAAATCACTCCTAGAATATCAGATAGATATTTTTCTAGGCATGGAAGAACTCGAGTTGGGTGTAGATTTATTTGTCAGGAACATTTATCTACTAGAAGAGATTGGAACTATCGATGAAATACAATCGGATGAAGTTATTGATTATTTTTTAAAATTGATGGAAAAAACTGATCAGTATGCTCATGAACTTTTTGAAATTGATGACTTGCTGGGAATTATGATTATCTATTGGACTCCTTATAAAGGACAATATGAATACTACAAGCAAAAAATGATTCAAATCAATTCATTTTTCGACATACTATTCATGACAATTGAGAAGAAATATGACGAATTTTTGGAAAGCTTCTCATCCAAATTTGATGAATTGGAGGATGTTTATGAGACAAGATATGATGTTAGTGTAACACAAAGAGATACCGAGGATCATCTGTATGAGCTTTACTCATCAAATTTTATGTTCATATTATTTCTGGCTGCCATAAGAACAAACCAGCACAAACTTATTGATTTTATCTTCAAAAATGATTGGTTCGTTACCATAAATTTTGGATTTCCTGAGAATGTTAAAACCAGTGAGATTCACTACTATGCAGCTTTGAATCTGCTTAAACATCGTCATGAGCTAGGAAGAGCCAACATACCAGAGGATTGGTTGACACATGAAGTCCTCGATGACTTTCTAGACTCAAGAATTAGCTATAGAGATAAAGACTATATTGAAATTGATTGTACAAGTTTGCTTCATGCAGAAAGTCAGAAAATTAAAGTGAGAGGACCAACAGATGTGACCGATAAATTGTTGATGCTTGAAGATACGATGTCACTCTCTTATATTAGAGATCATGAAAATTTAAAGAACTTGATCGCACATCCAGTGATAGAAACGTACATTAATCTAAAAAGCCACAAATACCAGAGAATTTTCGTTTACAACTTTTGGGCTTTTGTTTTATTATACATCATGCCATTTATTGCACTCATTTCTCACAATCATGGCGTCAATTCTGACAGCGTAATATGGACTGTATTCATGAGCAACAGATTTCATTACATTGGAATAATCTTTTTGATACTCAGAGAATCATTTCAGTGCATTATTTCTGGTTCTATCATTTCATATCTAAAACAGCGCTCAAATATCTTCGATATGATTCTAATTACTCTTTCAATTGCTTTATCACTTTGTAGTAATTTTAAGAGTGAAAATATAGTAGACATCAGTTCTTCCTCTATGGCATTTTTAGAAGTCGCCTTGATCTTGTTCACAACAATAAGCGCAACTTCATTAATACCGTTAGCATACGTACCTATAAATATGCAAATATTAAAGAAAGTTTCATTGACATTCCTCAATATTTTCTATACATTCGCAATCATTTTAATTGCTTTTAGCTTCTCATTTTGCATTATGTTTGAAGATCCATGTAGCAATGCAAATAGCACTATTAATTGCTCTGAACAAGCCCAAAAGGAAGAAAATTCAGGAGAAGAAGATGGTGACGATGATCCAATTGATAATTTTAAGTATCCACATACTGCCCTGATGAAAATTATGACAATGCTTTCTGGCGAGTACTCTATAGAGCCCATTAAGCTATCACCATATCAACTTGCGTTTTTTGCTGTATTTGTGACTACCTCTTTTATTCTATTTAACCTTATTCTTGGTTTATCAATTGAAGATGTTCAAGAATTGAAAAATGGATCGAGACTGTTCAATCTGTTGACGCAGACAAAGAAGTTGATAAATGTAGGACAAAAGCTGGATATTTATTACAACTTTATTGTGTAAGTCAAATTATTGAAATTTTTCATTTTGAGAATTTAATGTTAAATGTCTTTACAGTGATTATTATGACAACAGATACCTTTCTCAATCAAAGCTCGATGTTTTCAAGGATGTTTTATTAAATATCTCAACAACTATCGTAAGATTCTCCCTTTCAAAGTACATTCATGTTCATAGTATTCAAAAGATTTATGTGAACATCAAGTCTAGAGAAGTTTTTATCAATGTCAATCGAAAGTATGAACCTATTCTAAAAACAACAGGATATAGGAATAATGATCGGTATGTAATTAACGAAACTACGCTAACCGAAATTCAGCAAATTATAAATGTCAAGAATAAAAAAATGTTTAAGAATCTTAAGAAGACGATGCAGACGGAGGATTGAATAAATAAAATGGCGAAATGTTTTCGTTTGGCATCTAAATTTTGGCGAATGACAACGTATGATAAAAAAACTGATTTTGAGTTCTTGGAAAAGTCTTCTTCTTATTACTTGAGTTTTGCAAACCAGAAATGTTTTATTGATTAAATTTTATACAACGAAATAGAATTTTGAAGTTTCTATAGATTTTGTTAAAGTATGTTATCATATATTGAGTTATTCAAATCAATTAATAAATATCTAGTCTATAAATGATCTATAATTAAATTAATTCTTGTTTGTGGTCTAAGTGCTGAGTACATTGTGGCACTTCCTTATTTAAGAAGTATTTTTGGCAGTTTGAGAAGTCAGTTCTCCAAAACGTGTTAAAAACAGAAGCTTATATTATTGACAGGATCAAATCAAGGACAAATTTGTTTTGTTTTTGAACTTTCAGCTTTATCTTAGATCTTGCTTGTAAGTTGTGTTCCAATCGAATTTAAGATTAGATCATTTTATTACACGAATTGATCATGCAATTTTGATTGCAGAAAGAAATGAATGATTTTTTATATAATATCCAAACAACTTTTTAATCCAATCCAATCAAAGTTAACTTCCAAATGTTAAAGTTTGAAAAATAAATTCTAATTATGGCTTGATGTGATGATCAATATTTTTTTATTCAAGATATAAAGATGTTGAATGTGTATAAAATTTATAGTTTATTTAGTCATTTAATCGTTAAGTTATGTTCCCAATATTCATATGCATTTACAATCAAATGTAGAGAATATGACAAATGATTGAAGCAGGTTATAATTGTTTCATACATTTACCCATTTCACAGTTAGCCTAAAGTTAAAAATATGGATATTAGTTGTACGTTATCCAAACAGCTAACGTACTTAGCAATACAAGAAAAGCTATAATAGTTTAATACAGGTTATTTTGATCATCAAATTCAGATTCCACTGGATCTTGTTCAGAAATCTTTAATTCTTCTTTTCCATCATTTTTGATTTTTGGCTTTAGGATTTGATGAATTGTTGCTATCTGAGCTGTTTCCCCTTGTTAATGTTTTGTTCTTTTCGTTGGGATTGTCACTTTTTCGAGGTCGAGCAGCTCCATAACTTGCAAATCCTTGATCAGCAACAGTCTTTGACTTTCTAAAGAATGAATCCATTTCTTGTTACATAAGTGTTGACGATTTTGATGATTAATTCACGCTTTTAACGTCTTTTATTTATTTATTATTTATACAAATAAAACTACGTCTTGTTTGTGCAGATTTTTAATAACTTGTGAAAGATCTCCAGTTTTGTATTTGCAAGTTTTTCTCTCATTTTCTCTCATAACTGGTTTCTTCTTACCATTTTCTCTGAGAATGATTATTGCTTCAAGTTTATTAATTTTATTTCAGAAGCTCAAAATAAGAATTCATTAAACAAATTTTTGAACTACACATGTTTAACTTGTTAGCTGTTCCAAGAAAATCATATTAAATCATAAAATTTCAGCTCTCTTTGTGAGAAAAAAAAATTCAGTTGCTAATAAGACTTGATGACAAAAGCTTTATTGCTCATTAAATCAACAATCAGTTAGTTAAGTCAGTGAATTTAATAGAATTACAATTGGAAAAAAAACACTTAAGTTTTATTTTTTATTAAACGTTTTTACAATTTATTAAGTTTAAGTTACCAGCATTTTCTCAAATATTATAAGCAACACCATGTTTACAATTTTGAGTAAACCAGCAGCAGAATATTCTTAGTTTGCCAATTTCATTAAATTTTTTTACAGCCCGAGAAACATTTATCTTCGAGATGCTAGTGAATTTACAACAAATTTCGATTGTAGTTCAAAAAACATATTGGCTTAGGTCGGTTTGCATAAAGCTTCAAAGCTTTAATTAACAAGAAATATTTTAAATGCTACAACATGTTGGCACTGAATCAAATTTTTTCACGTGATGGATTAAACGTCGTGAACATTATCAAGCTTTATTATTATACCGGCATTGATAGTGTTAGATGTTTCTCGTTTTTACTCTTGTATTAGTGTCAATCAAGGTTTTGAAGCAAATTTCTGAGATTTCACTTGTTAAAATTGAATTGCTGCACAGACCAACTTTAGATGAAATTTTAATTCTGATATTTAAAATGACTTCCACATTTTTTTCATCCATTTTATAAGTTAGCTTTACTTTTTTTATTTCAATGCACATTTACTTAAAGTTTTATTCTTGACTTATCAAGTTGGCTCTAAATTATCGTTTTCCAAAGAACCAACTTACTATAGAACTTTTACCAGATGACGACTTTGCTTTTTCTGGTTTTCTTTTCTCATTTTTTCTAGGAACTGATGAACTGTAGCTTGAAAAATTCATTTCTGTATCTATATCGTCCGCTTCCTGCTCTTCTGTAGATTGTCTTTCACTTTCTTTTGGATTCACTAGTGGTTTGCTGTCTCCAGAATTTGTTTTAGATTCACTCATGATTTAATGTTGTTTTCGTGAATTTTTGCTTCAAAATACGTCTGCTTCACACAACTTGTTGCTTACTTTTGAGTTTTATGTAGTTTTTCTTCCTATGTTAAACTACCAAATTATCTCTTTTTTTTTCACGAGAGACAATTTTTCTCAAAAAATTATGTTTTTGGTGACGTTGAAGCTCGTCATACATTATGTCATTGATAGTAATTTTGGAATGGCATTTTTTCTTGACGAGTTTCTGCACGAAGCCACACGAATGTTGTGTACTTTTCGATGAATAAAAATTTGGATTTTCTATGATTTCATAAGAGCTAATTAATTTTTCGGGGGGTACCTTTATCTAAAATTCTAAAGTTTTTTTAATTAATGAATATTGGGATATGAAGCCAATGTTGATTGATTTTTCAATAAAATTGGTTTTGGCAATTTAAGGTTGGACAATTCCTTTCTTCATTTTTTATTTATTTAAATGACGTAGTTTTTATGAGGGGAGCAGAGGAAGGGGGAGTGTTCTGAATGGATTGTTTAATAATTAAAGGTTGATATTTTTGAGTTGTACGGTTCTAAACTTTGTCACTTGATTTTTTGATCGACAAAAAAGTAAATGTCCTGTTACTCATCAATCAAATAATAATTTCACACGCGACAGTTCACATTTTGACGATTATTAAAGTTTTGTCAATCATGATAATAAAACTTCATGTCAGAATTAGGCAAACACTTTCCCATTGAATATAAACACTAAAATATCTTTTTTCAATAAATTTTAATTTTTCAAGGGAGGAAGTATAAGTTCTCGTCATTAGGGCGGTGAATAAATTATTCAAGAACTGCGTATCATTATCATTTAGGTTCCATAACAAAACTTACCGGTTCCGGAAAACTAAAACTATATTGTGTATGAAAATAATCAGTTGTGTTCAAAATATTGGATAGAATAGATTGGTATCAACCAACATCATTTTTAAAAGCATTGAATTTCAATTAGATCTGACTGAAAAATGAATGAACTAGAAGAACAGCACTTTGAGATGAGGAAAATTGAAAACCCGATTGTAAGTTGATTACATCGCATCACTTCAACATTTTATATTCTGAAATTTGATTAATTGCTAGAAAATAAGAATCGACAACAAAAACTTCGACCGTGAAAACATTTCAATACTTAAGGATGACCTAAAGCTCCATAAAAGTTCTAGTGATATTTTCAATATTTTTACATCAAATGAGGACAAATCAGCAGCCATTAGTTTATTTATAGAATCAAATGATCAAGGACACAATTCTAGTTTTTGGATAGAAAATGTGGATCTTGAAAACGTGATGCGACACTATGCATCATCAAAATATTTTAATTTGAAGAATTTATTAAGCATTTTGATGTTTGACTGGTTCAATTCTAAAAATGTGTCAAATTATGATTTGTGTCAGAAATTTGAAGCGTTTGAAAAATTTGGAGATTCTCTAATGAAAAAGTTGCTGCAGATATTCGACCGTAATGAGTACAAACCATTTTATCGTGCCTGTTTGAAGATAATTTATCAATATATACATGAAAAAACTTTAGAAATAAAGGAAACATCTTATGATAATAAAGGTATGATCCAAGAAAGCCGAGAAGCTATTCAAAGTGAGGAGGAAAAGTTTCAAACTCAACTAAACAAGTTCATTAATGAAGCACTGCTGATCAAAAATGAAGAATATAAAGTCAAAGTTCTAAAAGCTTTCATTGTCTACCTGCAAAGTACATCTAATGAAAACTTTACAACTCTTAAAGAGAAGATAATGGAAGTTGTGCAATACAATTTCAAACAATATTCATCCTACGATATTTTAATAGATTCCATTGTTAAGCACTGCGATGAAAAGTTTTTTAATGGGACACTGGAGGATCGCGAGGTAAAATTTTTGGTAAGCATTTGAAAACTGACTGGAATGGAAATTTAACAGTACTATCTCATTTCAGAATGAGATCTATGACATGTTTGATCTGGAAGATCCGATCGAAACATTCCGTAAGCATTTAAAAGACAAGAATTTTAACCTCAAAATGCTCTTTGGTAGAAGAAATGTACGGGAAATGAGTCTTTTTGAGAACATTTTATTCCATTCAAAATTTCATCCAGTACTGGAAGAATTGTGGAATAAATTTGAGCTTGGAAAGCGACCAGAAGTGCTGATGCTGGTAATACTTCATAACAAATATTCAAGATTCGAAATTAATTTTAAAATCTTTCAGAAAAATTCTCTAGGGAAATACTTGATAGAGTATGTCATATTAACCAGAAACATCAATCAATTGACATCATTTCTATCACTATCATCACATCAATGTAAATTGAATTTTAGTTCACTAAAGCACTTCATGATGTTTAAAAATGCTCTCGTCTACTCCATATCAGGAAAATCATTATTCGAGTATAATTTGGACAAAGATTTCTGTGAAGATTTAGATTTATATGCTGAATTGGCCTACTTGCTCGAGGAAATTGGAGTAATTGATGACATTAAACCTGATGTATTGATTGACAATTTGTTGGAAATGGTGAATAAGCATGAAAGTTATGTAAGCAATTTAGCTCATTTAGATCTTCTTTTGGGACACATGATAGCTTATTGGAATCCTCAAAGCAGTCATGCCAAAGTTTATAAAAAGGATTTATTGCGGAGATGTCCTTATTTTGATCTTCTATTCATGATTCTTGAGGAGAAGTCAAATGAATTTGTGCATGAATATTTAAACAAGATTAGTGATCTTGAAAAGACGTTTACAGCTAGATACAGCATTGTGGATTTCAAGCAGCATTCAAATGAATCATTTGCATCAAAATTCATTGCTATTCTTCTTCTGGCTGCGATTAGAACTAAGCAACATAAAGTTATTGACTGCATCTTAGCTAACAGTTCACTTTCAATGTCTCAGTTTATTTTCACAAAAAATATGAAAGTCGATCAAATCCACAACTACGCAGCATTAACTTTAATAAAGCAAAATTGTCAATTAGGTGGAAATGATTTTCCAAAAGATTGGCTGACACATGACGTCCTTGTGAAATTTCTTGACTCAAGGATTAATTATCATGATAATGAATTAATAGAGATTGATTGCTCTTTTATGTCACGAATTGAAAGACAGAAAATTAAAGTTGTAAGTCGCGCTGATATCACTGATGATTTATTAATTAAAGAGGATATAAATTCATTTAAATATTTGGATGAAAATGAGATTGACAAAAATATTTTAACACATCCAGTCATCAAAACGATAGTTGCTATAAAAAGACAAAAGTACAACAGCATTTACATGTACAACTTTTGGACATTCCAAATTTTATTCTTTTTTCCATTTTTGTGGCAACTTCAGCATCATTATCTTGGCTTAAAGCAGTTAGATCATGCAGAGAAGAGTCTTCTGGCTAACATTTGGTTTTGTGGTGTATTTTACCTGATTTGCAGAGAACTGATCCAATGCTATTTTGCCATGACTTTGAAACTTCATTTTTGGGACAAGACAAATGTAATCGATTCAATTCTAATTGTATTCTCAATTGCATTAATAGCTGCATATTCAGGATTACTTGATGATCAAACAAGAAAGCTTCTAGAAGTCAGCTTAGTTATTGTTACTTCTATAAGTTTAGCAGCAGATATTCCAACATCAAAATCTCCATTATACATGCACATCTTCAAAAGTGTTGCAGCGACCTTCCTTAACCTGTTTTATTCATTCGCATTGATTTTAGCGGCATTTGCACTATCATTTATTATTGCTTTCGAGCACAAACATAAACTAGATGATAATATGGTGTCAAATTCGAACAGAAACTTTGAAAATTTGTATACATCTTTTACAAAAGTCTTAACCATGCTTTCCGGAGATTTCAGTATTGAACCCATAACACTATCAGCACTACAATTAGTAGTATTCGTCATTTTTGTCATAACTTCATTTATATTGTATAATTTAATACTAGGTTTGTCGATTGAAAACATAAATGAGGTTAAACAAGGATCCAAAGGCTTTATACTGATGAGGGAAGTCAAAAAAAATTATTGGGGCGGCTACAAAGTTGGAAAAGTTTTACAAAAGTCTCATGTAAGTTTCCTGAAAAATTAATAGTGATTGTTTTCACAGTGAGAAAAAATTCAACTCAAAATAATTTTTTTTCTAGGACTGTAAGGAAGCACTTGAATCAGTATCCACTCCTTCGACCAATTCAATTCATTCTGGTTGATTTTCCATTTGGAGTTGTTAAATTTTTCATCAATAAATATATCTACATCCACAATATATCAAAAATTTACGTCAACAAAAGAACCGGTGATGTCTATGTGCTTGTAAATCATTCTTACCTATCTATTTTTAATGGAAAGAGTTTGAGAAAAAAATTTAGGATTGATGAGAACACTCTGGATGAAATGAGTTACATTATAAATGCTCGAAAGCAACAATCTTTTGAAAATATCAACAAAAATTTGTAAATTTCTGTAGACTTTAATTTCTAGCATTGAATATTTTGTCTGTATTTCCTTAATTGATTTCACCATAAATTCATCTATGTTCTTTCTAACCTATATAGTCTGATGGTTCCAGAAGTATTTGTTTCCTTAGAATAAGTTTAACAAACAAGAAATCTTAGTCTTAAGTCGCAATTCAAGCTACTTCCGCATAAAGAGTCAAAAACCTAATGAAATTAAATTTACGTTGTGTTACTACATACTAAGTTTTTATGATTAAGGAATAAAAGAGTCAATACACTTTATATAAAAAGTTTTAAGTTTATTGTAAATTTTTCACATAAATAATTCGTTCGAAAATACAAAAATATCTTTAAGCTAAAATTTGTATATGCTAATGTGAATGCAGGATTCTTAAGCATTAGCAAATCTAAAAAATTAAATTATTTCTTATAAAGTCAAGAAAACAACATAATATAAAATTTTATTCAACACAAGCAAAAATTGGAATAGATTGAAGAAGTTTTACAGGTTTTGTTGCTTTACAAGACTAATTTTTTAATTTCCATCTTGCTACATCGACAGTCTTCGTTCACTTTCTTATTCTTTTTGTCACTGAACTTCCATCTGATTTTCCAGAAATGCTTTTATTTCCAACATCTCCAGTTTTTCGAGGCAGTGCTGATCCAAAACTTGAAAAATTTTTATCTTGTTTTGGCTTTTTTGAAGAATCAAAAATCTTTAAAAATTTGTCCCAAATGGTCATTTTTAAATTATACAGTTTGAAACACACTTGTTGCTTCTTTAACTCTTAAATATCTTATGATCAATTTAACATTCAAATGACTTCAAGACTTTTCTTCTCTCATTTTAAAACCGGTTCAAACTTTTGCTCGTGAGAATGAGTTTTGTGAGATTTTATTGATGTCCTCAAGGAAATTCTAACCATGACGTCGTTTTAAGCGTGAGAAAAATTTGTAATTTTCTCTGTTTTTTAAATGAAAGTTCAGTTAACTCAAAAATATGTTGCTGCTCTAGTTTTCACACGTGATGATCTTGTTTGGCAAGATTTATATCGAAATTAATTTTGTTCTGCTTGTATTCGTGAATATTTGTGTATGGCAACAATGACTAATCGTATGTGGGGAGTATTAATCTGTTGACAACAATATTGTTTGCATGAGTCGACAGTGTATTGAATATTTTTGTGTTTGATATTTTTTGATTAAGTTGCAGTGATTTTTAAATTTTTTTTTATATTTTCGAAAAATGTTTTTCTTTCATTATTCAACTGATTATGAGTTATTTTTCTCAAGTCTTTTGTAAGAAAATCTTCTTATTCACCTTAATTATCATTTTTGTTAGCTGCTGGGATTTTTTCTTCGTTTTATTGTCTAATTGAATATTCTCGTGATTAAATTATTAAAATGAAGAAATACATTTGAGAACTATTTTGAAGGCTCTTTAACAGTTAAATAATATTGAAAATATTGATTGCTGTTTTTGGTCAACACCAGTTTTAACTTAATAAAAGTAATCATAAATCAGCAATTCGCATACAAATTTTTTGCATGTCCAGAAGCCAGTCTTTTGAACATTTTTCTCGTTTGTTGCATAATTATAAACCCGCACCATTGTATCAACTAAAGTCACATTGAATAGTAATGACAGCCAAAAGTCAAGCTTTATTAATACATGTCTTTCATATTAATTCAGACAATTAATCATATTCGTGATTCATTTGATTATAACTAGTTGTATATTGAGTTATAACCTAATATCAAAGTATCATCAATAAAATTACTTTAGATAATAAAATCCGCAAAAATCACCAAAATTTTTTTTGTTTTTAAAAAACAGCAATATTTTTTGGAATTTCCATGCAGCATTGTGTCAAAATGTCAAACAGGATTTTCAACTTTTTGCAATATAATTTGCTGTTCTTAAAAAGTCGTTGCTAAATTATCTTATTCTTAATTTCTTGGTTCTTGTTTATTCTTATTTTCTTGTTCCTGGTGATTTCCATGGATTATTCCACGTATTTCCACTCGAATTTAATTTCGGATTGATTCCATTTGATGAATTTCTTGTATTACTGCCTTCAGTCTTTCGTGGTTGTGCTGATCCAAAGCTTGAAAATGTCTTTTCTTCAGACTTTTTGTCTGTACTTTTTGATGTATTTAACTTATCCATAATTTTATTTATTATCTTACTCATGCTAAGTTGAATATCACAGTGAAGGTTTAACTTCTATCACCTTTGACTTTTAAATGAGTAATTTTCTGAGAGTTGTGACTGATTGATTCGTAAATCAACGTTTAGAGTTCATTAATGAATTTTAATTTCTTCTATTTGAGTGCTCTTTAATTTTTCACAACTTTATATCACTTCAAAATTGCGATAAGATTTTTTAAATAACAATATTTACACAATTTTCCAAAAATTCGTTTACAGCCGTGTTACTTGTTGTAAATCAAGATTGAGAATTAACATTTGGTATTCAAAATAAAATCTGAACCAACTCATTTTAATGACAAAACAGGTTTCTCTCTCGAAATGACAGTTTTTGGAGATTTTTTTCTCTCTCTTTTGAGTTAAATTATTCGCAAATATAGTTGAATAAGTGTTTATCTAAACACTTAGCTTCATGGCATTTTGGAAAAACTTTTGAAACCGTAAAATTATTTTTAAGCGTTATTATTTGTAAGTATTTATGGGTTTTTTGATCGAAGGCTGACTCTTCTTTCCCAGAATTGTCTCAAACTTTTTTCAACAAAAATTTCTGTAAATTTTTCAAATTTCTTATTTTAAAAAAATTTATTCAAATTTTTAAAAATGTTGTAGAATCAAAAATTATTTGATAGAATTGCACTTCTAACGGTGCAAATACATATTAACCACAACCTGTGTGAAGGCAATCGATGTAAGTTAAACTCTTCTTCATGCATGAACATTTTTTAATATGATATTTATTCAAATATTATTTTCATTATTAATAACACGTTGTGTATGGTAAATATTTTTATAATGTCTAATAGAGAATACCCTTTATTTCATTCCAAACTCGCCTATTACTCGTTTTCAAACTGTTCATTCACTCACCAACCTTAAGAAACTGTTTTTAATTTAATACTGGTGTTGACGAATGTCATCAAAACTTAATTATCTACATGCACACTGATGTTCTTGTAGAAACATGTTTAAATATTCAAGGTTATATAATTTATCTTAAAATTTAGTTTAATGCGCAAATTTCAATTTTATTTCGAATTCCACCTGAAGTAGCTAGTTTTAGCTGTCAAATTTTTAGTATTTTGTGAGCTGTCCGTTGTATTTGATTTCATAACATTCAATGTGCTTTTTGCGATGTGACCTCTTTCAGCTTTTCTCGTTGATGCTGATCCATAGCTTGCAAAGCCATTCTCAAAATTATTGGATTGAAGTGATTTTGTAGTGCTCATATTTCTGAAAGTTTTGTTTATTATTTAAGCATTTATGACACTTTAGAAAGTTTATTTTACTTTAAATTACCTTGATGCTTCTTAATACGCTTCTTTTTTGATTGAAAATTGTACACAAATTGACGAGCATCTATAAAAATCCAGTTTTGTGATTTTTCTCATCTTCAATAAAAAATTATTCTCAATTTTTCCTCGTGAGAGAATTTTTAATATTTTATGAGGATTTATGAGATGAAGCATTTTGGAAATATTTTTGGTCACTGAAAATTAAGTTAAAAAGTTGAATTTTAATGCATAAAATGGCTTTTATAAAAATTAAAAAAATATTTATTAAACATTTTCATCCGTCTCTTTTTAAAAGCACGGTCGAGAGAGAATTTACAAATAATCTACTCCGATCTCAGCATTTGATTTTTAATCTTCTCAACTTGACATTCTCTTTGGAGTTGTGGTGGAAGCTTTGAGTAAATCTTCGCTGGGAGATTTTCTGAAAGAAATTGAACAAATCAAATTAAGTTGCTTTTTCGAACAATCTGGAACAACAAAGTTACTGGAATAGAAATACTTCTAAGCTTTATAAAAACTGGTTTATCTCAATTCACAGATACTGGTCATTTAAATAACCAAGATACTCACCATTACATCTGTAAATCAAATTACTCCAAATAATCATTTCCTGCGAAAAGACAAACATTCCAAGACGTCCTCCTTTAAGAGTTGAATCATAAATATTTCCAGAATCAACAACAAGTTTCTTGCCATTGAAAATTCTCATGTTAATGAGACCAATTTTAGGACGATGAATCAAATGCCAACGGTAAGCTGTGTGTTGCTTCCAACCAACATTTTTGGGATCTTTCCACAGCAATTTAGTTTCATTTGGTGTTGTTCCTGTATGCCATAAGCTGTTTCTTAAACTTTTACCTGGACCATGTTTAGAGTCAATTAATTTAATTTGAATTCCAGGTTCGGCATATGCTGTAAATGGATCTTTATGCCAATATTCTTGAGCATTACGTTTCCACATGACAGCATAGAATCGATGATTGCTTTGATATGAGAAAATAAATCCAATATAGTCATCGTCATTGTTTGTGTCAACAAATAAAGTTCCTTCAAAGTCAACACCACTGAATGAGTCATATCCAATAGCAAGTCCCGGATCTGAATTCATTGTTTGAACCATTTCAGCTCCTTTGTTATAAATCACCCATTTAGGATCAATTTGAGATTCACCAACTGGATCTAATGGCACTTGTTGGAATGATCTAAAATCAGTTGTGTAAATCTTGTTGTTATTTGGACAATTGTCAAGATGATCCTCAACTCCATCACCATCAGAGTCCTGTTCACATGCATCGCCGATTCCGTTCTTGTCTATATCATGTTGGTCTGGATTCTAAAAATTTAGAAATAATGAGAGTTTTGTGGAATGGGATCGATTAAGCTTACATAAATAAATCGGCAATTATCTGCACTATTTTCAATTCCATCGTTGTCTATGTCCTGAAATTCAAAATTGTATAAGACATTGAAAGAAAATTGATTAACAGATGGTCAAGATTACTTACAGAATCACAAGCATCTCCAAATCCATCACCATCAGTGTCTGATTGGTCAGCATTCTGTACGTCAGGGCAGTTATCCTTATTGTCTTGAATGCCATCATCGTCACGGTCTCTGTTGTTGTCACAGGCATCTCCAATCAAGTCCCTAAATGAAATAAGTAAGTTTCAATGAAGGGGATGGATTGTTCACAAATCATGTCCATCAACGAGCGTGATGCCAGAAGTGAATGAAGATACTCACGCATCAGAGTCCTTTTGGTCCATGTTTGGTGTTACTGGACAGTTGTCACAAACATCTATTTTAGAAAAAAATTAGTGTTGAAATTTTGTTATATAAAGCATGCGTCTTTACCTCCAACTTTATCCATATCAGAATCTCTTTGATCTCTATTTGCAATTTTTGGACAATTATCATTTTCATTTAAGATTCCATCATTATCAATGTCCTTAGAAAAAAATTCAAGTAGTTTATTAGAATTTCAAAGTTTAAGAAACTTTTAAAATACATACTGGATCACAAGAATCACCTAATCCATCACCATCAACATCTAAAATAAAATTTAAGAATCAATATAAGCACGTCATTTTCAAAATCATCCTCAAAACTTACCCAGTTGATCTCCATTTGCAGTTTGAGGACAGTTATCACATCTATCACCAACTTTATCTCCATCAACATCTGATTGATTTGGATTGTAAACATACACACAATTGTCATTTACGTTGTAGATTCCATCGTCATCAATATCTACAAGAAAGTCAAAATTTTCAATTAAATCATCCTTAATATCATGTAGAGCTTCCTTACCCAAATCACAAACATCTCCAATTCCATCATTATCAGTGTCTTCCTGTCCCGAATTTGGTATGGATGGACAATTGTCTTGTCTACATAATTGACTAGCACATCCCAAATCAACATCAGGCCATCCATCAAGATCCCGATCAGTTCCACAATTTTTTCCATCGCCAGCATATCCTACTTTACACTTACATGTATATCGTCCATTAAAGTAACGACAAACTGCGTTCTTGTCACAAATTGTTCCATCTGGACATGCTCCTATGGGGAGAAAGCAATCACTTGTGACATTTGATTTGATATATCCTTTTGGACAGAAGCATTCGTATGAGCCTAAAGTATTGCGACATATTGCATTATTTCCACATCTTGCAGATCTATCACGACATTCATCAATGTCCTGACAAATTTGTCTTTGGAATGTATGATCAGTAATTGCTTCCAAATAAAAGCCTTCAGAATAATGTCCACTAAATCCAATTGGACATGGATCACATCGAAAACCTGGTGACAAATTAGAGCATCGAACCATTGGATCACATGGATGAATTGTTTGACATTCGTCGATATCAATGCAGTTATAGCCGTCTATTGAAGTAAATCCTGGAGGACATGGAGAACATCTATAATATGGCATGTCATCGGTTTGAAGGCACTGGAAGCCATCATTACATGGATTATTTTCACAAGGATTTCTCCTCAATGTACAGGTTCTGCCATCTCCTTCGTAGTTCCTTGGACACTTCGCACAAATAATTCCAGTATCCGTATCATGACATTCAACTTCAGGGAAACATGGATTCGCTGTTAAACAAGATTCAACTTCCGGACCAATTTTACACGATACACAATTTTCAATCAATGTCTGTATATGCTTAATTTCTGCATTCTGGTATGTAAACTCCTTACGAAAAGTTTTCACCATGTCAATTAGTTCATCGACCTTCGACTTCACAGAATCTGTTGACGATTCAGATCCCAAAAAATACAAAAATAAATAAACATTGCGTAAACATGAAAGTGTGACTCGTTATCAGCAACAACCTTCGCATTGCTGAGTTGAATGAATTTTTTTTTTGTTCTAAAATAAATATTTTAATTTATTTTTTCTCACCATTACAATTTTGCGGGTCAGCTGTTATCTCATTACTGTCTTCATAATTTGCTTCTGATTAGTTAAAAAGAAATCTAGTTATTTTCTTTAGAAATGTTTATTAATTTAATTAGGTTATTAAGAATGGTTTGGTGCTGCTTTTATAAAGCTGGGTTGAAATTGGGATTTGATGTTAGGGTTTTTAGATAATTTTTGGGCAACAGTTCAAGATTTGAAGAATTTTAAATTTATTATGCTTGAAAATATTTTAAGTTAAGCTTTAACAAGCTTAGATCTATGAATTTCTTCAATCAATTGCTCGAATTTGATTGAAGAAATCTACAACACTACCGGATATCCTGTATTGCACAGTCACTACGCTTAATTCTCCTTATATCATAACTCCTTACCAGAAAGTTCCTCAATCTTACCATCAAAATCAGGCAAAACAGTTTGCAACGATCCAAATTTCACAACTATCGCAAAAATTGACATCCAAAGTAAAAACTTCATCGTTAAAAAAGAAATAATTTCACTGATAAGACCAAAATAATTCAAGCTACATGGACCACTTAATCATTCAACAAAAATTCGCAAACTGAGAATGATTGCGGCTGAGCATTAGAATTTAATGGATGTGAACATTACTGATTATGAAATTTACCAAAAAAAATCTCAATTTTAAATGAGATGAAATTTAGGAGCAATGAGAGATTTTTAGGGTCTTTTGAGGCTTTATTATTCAAAAATATTCACATTTAATGTTCGATTCTCATGTCTATAATTATGATGCTTTAGGCTCTAATAAACCTTTTCCTTCATTTATCTACTTTATTTTATTCTTTTATTGATATTTGGAATTGTGAAAGACAAAAGCCCTCCAGAAAACAATAAAATTGTAGGCAGAAGCCATGTGTATGTACAAAAGTTTTTAATTGATACACCCACAAAGTTTGATCCAGCTACGCTTCCAATTCTACCTGCCATCATCGATATAGACACAGCCATAGCTCTGCAAGAATATAAAATAAATCATGTAAGTTTTGAGGCAATATTTGTTATGCTTCGTAATTTGTGTATCTGCTGTAAATTTGTTTTCTTATTTTAGAATATTGTGGTTAACCCGAGTCAGTGAGAATATCATTGCAGCTCAAATACATTTAGCAAGTTGTCTTTCTTAAATTGAAATTGTGCACATTTCTTGCTGAGTTAAAAACTCAATAATTACAGTTCTTTTAATTTTTATGGACAGTTACGGACATTGAATGTCTTGTACTGCTCGGAATCTTTTGACGACAGATTTTACAATGTTGTTGACAACGTCTGCTTAATTAGTTCCAAACAAGGAGTTATCAAATTTTCCATTAATTAAACAATTTCCTTTTCAAAATCCATTAACAAAAGAACATTGCTTAATTATGCTTTTACATCAAACTTACCTCAATGTTGTTGGAAATAATTCAACTGTTGATGTATTAACAATGCTCATATTTAATCCAGCGAGTAACAGGACTAAATAAATGTAAATTGATGCCATTGGCACTTGTATGAACATTAATAAAATACTTGATGTACCACTAACGGCAGCAACAATCACCATGATCACAAGTTTTCCTGTTTTATTAATTACTATCGATATAACAAACCAAAATACACTGTAGAGCAATGTGAGCATAGCAATATTTTGGAATGTACTAAACTCTAATTTCGTGATGCAAGTTGGATTGTCGCTATTGGTTGCAGTAGAACTATTGCTTGAAATTCTATTGAAATAGTCTAGAACACCACATACTGTTGCAGATCCATGAGGATTATCTGTTGTCCATAATGAAACTTTATTAAGAATTTCAGGAAAGAATGTCCAAAAGCCATTAGCAACAACACATATTCCAAACTGTAAAAAGCATGCAGTTGCTGTATTTTTCAAATGTGGACTTTTGAATAATGGAACAGTTTGTGACCACATAAAGTAGAAAAATCCTTTTGAATTCACTTCACTTCCTTTAAGGAATTCATCATCTTTAATTAAGGCTTTAACTTCATATTCATTTGCTGACTTTCCAGTATTAGATTTGAAAATTTTCTTTAATATTTCTAGAGTTCCTTCTTCATCACCTTGAGCATATTTAAATTTTGGAGATTCAGGAACAAAAAAGATCATTACGATTGCACAAATGGCACTTGGAAGACTGCACATGAACAAAAATATTCTCCATGCACCATAATTGAGATTCAGGAAAGGAATGAACAGCTTCCAATTCTCTCGATTGAGAAATGCAATTCCATTAATTGGCATAATCAAAACAAAAAGTCCATACATCACAGAAGCTGCAAACAGAGACAATTATGCATATTTAAAGAGTTTAATATAGAATTTTATAGCTTTAACAACATTATAAATCCATTCCTTTTTATCAAAATGTAAATACTAACCGATGATCAAAACACGAGAGCGATGATGTGTTGAGTGAAATTCGCCAAGAAAAGCGTAAATGATTGTTTGCGGAGCACAAACACTGTGGATTAATATTTACGTTTGTTACATCCATATCAATCAAATGACCATTTGTATCAGCAGGTGGTAACAAAATGCCATTTCGTTAATTAATAATTTTTTTTTGGACATTGCATTGATTAAGTAACAATGTCAAAAACAAGCATTTGTTACCACCACTTGCCATGCAGTCTAAGTCTAAAGGTCATTTAAGATATAGTCATAGCAATTATTTGTAATTTACGGCCATAGAAATTAATTAGTTTTAGATACATTTCAATTAATGTCAATTTATTTTAATCAACACAATAAACAATCACGACTACTCACCAGAATCCGTTGAGAAATCGAAACAAAGCGAGAAACCAGAATGATTTTGCGAATGTAGAAATCACGGTAAATAGAAATGATAACATAAGTGCAGGTACAATGACTTTTTTACGCCCTCGCGTGTCAGCCATAAATCCCCAAAAATGAGATGATAAAATTATTCCTATATATCCAACGGAGCCTAATAAACCTTTGTGAACATTACTCAAATTCAATTCACATTGAGCAATTGGTAGGATTATGTTGATGCAGTTCGTCTCCATCATACCACAAGCAAGTACTAAGCCGGAAAGGACAATCATAAAATAATTAAATTTTCCGAATTTTGTGCGTGCGATCGCATCCTCTAAGGAATATTCCAACACTTTTGACATTGTGCTTTGTTGAGTGCGAAAAGTTATTTTTAATTCCCACACAACTTATCACGAAAGACTCTGAACGTCTACTGATTCTTAATTGTTGTATAGGAAAGTACTTCATATTTATATACACGTCGTTCTCGTAAAGAAAAGTGAGATATTAAAAATTAATAGCTTAAATTCATGTGAAGATGTCATTAATTAGATTTTGTCGGAAAGAGTTCCATTTTTCGCTCACTTTTATGGAAATCGAATGAATCTAAAGAAATGAATGTTTGGTGAGTTAAGTCACATTATTGAGCATTCAATTGACTTTTAGTAGCAATATGAAGCTAGGAGCTTGGATTAAGAGATTAAATCTAAAATATCCTCGTCAATCGACTGAGTTAAAGTTTAGAAGGATTCAAAACTTTTGTGCAACAGCTGTTGATTCAAAATGCGCTTTAAATACTTCAAAGTTCTACAAAAATTAAAATCTACTTGAAACTAGTGTATCGGGTAGAAACCCAATGCGGATTATATTCACACCGTACTATCATAAGTCTTATGAATAGACCAAGATTTGCCCATCATAAGTATGAAGGTATGAAGCTTGATAAGTCAACTAAGCTTCGCTCAGCATAAGTTTGAAGTTATAAAGCTATCGCGTAAGCTGAGCTACGCTCAGCATAAGTTTGAAGATATGAAGCTAGAGAGGCAGCTGAGCTTCGCTCAGCATAAGTTTGAAGTTATAAAGCTATCGCGTAAGCTGAGCTACGCTCAGCATAAGTTTGAAGATATAAAGCTAGAGTGTCAGCTGAGCTACGCTCAGCATAAGTTTGAAGATATGAAGCTAGAGAGGCAGTGGAGCTTCGCTCAGCATACGTTTAAAGAAATAAAGCTAGAGTGTCAGCTGAGCTACGCTCAGCATAAGTTTGAAGGTATAAAGCTTGACGAATATGCCAAATATTCTTTAAAAGTTTTTTAAAAAAAATTTTCATCCAAAGTTGAATTTTATAAAAATCACAGTCAACTTTTGTTTTAAAAAATTCGTAAGAAAGGAAAGTTTTTTGCCATTTCTGAAGCAACGGCTGTTCCTACCTTGCCCAAAAACAATACAGCTCTTCTATAGAGTAGCACGGATCAAATGTAAAAAACTAGAAGTCTCTACGATGTCTCGTTATTGAGATTTCTTGCTGATTAACTTGCTTGCTTGCTTGTTTGCTTACAGAAAGCGTATTTTGCGATTTTCTCAGCAATGCCACAACCAATTTGAAATCTGTTTTTTGAAAATGATGTAAAATTTCAGGCACAATCTTTTTATCTTGCCCTTTTATAACAAATTTTGCTTTGTTTTCTCACAAAATGCGAAAAACTGATTTTTTAATCTGAACAAAACCAATAGATTCACACGTGAAAACGGTGTGAATATAAAAATGTCAAAAGAAAAAATATTTTCAAAGATTAAAAGAGACGACACAATGACTAGTGAAAAATATTAAGCTACACGTCTGTGGAATGATGAAAAGCTAACATTCAATATGAAACTTTCCATGAATGTGATTTAAAATAAATTTTTGACAATTTCCTGAACTTAAAAAACCAAATGATATTTATATCTTCTATTCTCTGTGGGTGATACCAAAATACATCGAGTTGTTATGCTAAACAAAATTTTGGATATAAATATCACCAAATACCCCATTGTGACAGAAATTTTGGAGATGTATACAGTAAGCATCATAAAAACGTGATAAACAATAATAACTTTATATATATATATATATATATAAATATATATGTAGAGGTACTCGAGCTAAATGCCGAGCTGATTATTTTTGAAGAGGGTTGATATGAGTTGGAAAATACCAATAAATGTGATGCTTTTCTGTTTATATCAACTGCTGTGTATTAAAGTAAAGTAAATTTATGGCCACACAGTATTTTCTCATTGTTCATCGAAGTGAGTCTTTTTGAATCCACTTGACTGCTCAATATTATCTAAGTTTGGTAGAACTTTAAGTCTGTTGGGTTCAGATTGATAACTTTGAAAGAAATATTTGTGATTTCAACCTATGAAAGTATTCATGTTGATAACAAGAGAGTCTGGAAGTTGAAGGTGATTTGTAAAAATTCACACCAAATCCCTTAAAATGCTTTAAAAATATTCATCTCAGCTTTACATTTAACCTTTTGCACACCTTAAATACAATGATAAACCAAGTATTATCAATTACGCACCAACGCTTCTTTGAGATCCTTTCATTTCAATCATACTTTTTGCAAAAAGGTCGAAAAACTTTTTGTGTTTACATTTTAGATCATTTTAATATTAACAACAACAAAGCACTCCAAACCGCCTTCAGCTGGATCATTTTAATGGTAAATGCTGGATGGGGAAATTGCTGCTGTAATCTTAAGCATGAAAAAAAATATTTTCTGATGTGGATGAGGCAAAATTCTTTAATTAATAATTGTTTTGTTGGGAAGTTTTGATGAAAGGAGGGAGATTTGGCATTGAGATAGTTTAATGACACTCAATCTGATTTTTACAGGGGTAGGGATCATTTATATGTAACGTAACTAGACTATAAACTATCTTTTCTTCAATATCAAGAGCTTGAACAATTAAATAAATAGACAAAATGATAAATCATGAAAACTTACTGAATATCTTATGCTATAAGATACAGTCATAATATTTTTATCTAAATTTCATAACATTTTCGGTTTTTATTGCTTTAGCTTCGAAATAATTTATTTTTGGGAGACTAATGAAATTCATGTGTGTTTTGTGAAATACCTCCATTGCTTTGGCTTCATAATTAAACTCATTCACGTCATCAAAATAGTTTTTAATTAAAACCTTTAATTACTCAATTTCAATGTCAAAGTGGCACTGATGGAGATATAGACAGAACCATTGTCAGGAGCATACAAAGAACAGAACTTTCAAAAATTACTCATCATGTTATTTATCCTTAAATCCTTCTCTGGCACTCAAGCTCTGCCTTTAATCAATCCAACCCTAAACAAATTGAAATTTGCTATCAACAACGAGCCACTGCTTCCACACACAAAGCCCTTTCAAAATTAGAAAAAAAAAACTGTTTAACTTTCCAAAAACAATAAGGCAGTTGAGGTGAGTGGAAACTGCTAAAAGGTATCGATAAAATTCAGAACAAAAAGAACACTTAATCTTTATTAAACTTTACTCCCATCTGCTGTCAAAGTTACTCTACCGTTTTCCGAAACAATTAATTTTAATATGAAGAAATCGAGACGGAAGAAGCCAAAAGTGACAGACAATGCAATTTAATTTTTTTTCTTCTTAGTCGAAAGCTTTTTAAAGAAAGAATGATAGAAGAGACGAACATTATGAGATGCTTCCTACTCATTGAATTTCGTCAATATTTATGAGGCTAGTCCTACAACTTAATCTACACCAACAAAAGTCTCTTTCCTTAAGAAAGTATCTATGAAGTTGAGAGGTTTTCAACCATTAACAATGACATGAACATTGTAAGTAACGTAAAAGGTTGGGAAAGATGAATGCTTAAGAACCAAAAGTTCATAATCATGTAACATAATTTTCAAATTTTACGATTCTTAGAACAATTTATTATCCAACTGCTGCTTTAATTTCTTTTAAAAAACACTTAAATTGCATTTTTAATACAGAAAATAATTGTGGCAATAAGCAAGCAGTCATAAATTAGAATCTTATTGTTTTTCTTAGACTAAAACAATTTTGTAATGTAAAATACAGGGTTGTTGATCAGTTTTGTGAGAAAAAATAGATGTGGAAAATTCAGCAGCAATATTGCTTTGTATTAAGGACAGACAACTTTTTTCCGAATGACCGAATGGTAACTTGGCATTGTAAAAAATTGTCTGTGATTATGATTGATCCTCATAAGTTGTCAATTCTGGATAAAAAGAGCGAAGTATAAAGTTTAGTTTTTCTCGACTGCTTCAACCATCGCACTACAAAAGCTTTCAAGAAACCCAATCCCATGGAAATAACTTCAAAGTTTTCCATTTCAACTTTTGACATTAAAAAAGTTTGTGTATTTTGAAGCAGGTGAGCATTTGTAGTCTAAACATATTGCAATTACTGCTGCTTTATATCGCATTTTTATTAACAACCACACAATATTTTAATCTTATCTTAATACCAATTACAAGTTTTGAGTCTATTTTTGTGTCCTTCTGTTTCCATTGACGTCACTGTTCACTTTTGATAAAATGTTAATGGTTTCAATGCCTAAATTGAAGATTTTATATATAAACTATTCAAATGTGTACATAATTAAGCAACAACTTCTTAATAACAAGGCAAGATGCAGCCACCCCATTGAAGCACCTTCATAACTTTTAACAGACACCCGCCACATAAAGAAATATTTATTTCAATGATTCACAGCATGTTATGTTGTTCTTTTAAGTTCTCATTCAATCGAGTATCCTCGGTGTGGGAAGTTTTGCAATACGTAGAAGGTTTCATTTCTTCGTTTTAACTTTGTTCAATGATCCTTTTAAGTGTGAATGAGATGAAATTACGGTTGCTTTCACCTTGTCTGTCTGTTTATGATTTCTATAAGGAATTGGAAGTTTTGCTGCTGTAAATCAATTAATTTTATATGTATGGGATTTATGAATGAGAAAGTTTTTGTCAATAAGTTGAGTTCTGAAGAAGAAATTTGTCTGTCAAGCAAAAAGAAAGCCTGTCTGAATCCCTTGTTTTTTATGAAAACTAAATTATTCGTCACATCAACCTTCTTCCTACATTTTTTTCATACTCGATGTCTTTTTACATCACTGTAAAACATCTGTAGTCTAATGAAGGATCTAATACAAAAGTATTTTTATACATGTTTAAACCATATTATGTCTTCAGGAAAGAACAATGGAGATGAATATAAAAATGGCAAATGTTTGCGTAGTCTATATTACCTAGATATCTTAATTCTATAAGAAATTGAGGGATTATACTGTTAAATCTTCGTACATACAAGAAACGTCTTTTATCAATTATGGTTTATCCATAGAACAATGGCGTTAGAGGAGAAAGTTTTTAATGTCCTCTGTGGTATAAAGGTATTGGATTAAAAGGATAGAATGAAAATAATGGACAACTTCCTAGGATTGGAAAGTAGAATAAAAGATGTTTGCAAAACTTATCTTACGCATTATTAGACAATAAAACTTAATCGCTATTAAAATTAAAATTCCAGATAGAATTCCTAAAAATTTCATGGTATTTAGAGATTTCCTTTAAAACTGATATAAAAAAAAATCATAACTGTCCATCCCCAGATCAACACAACAGCCTACATTCAACTAAAGTGTTGTATTTCTTTGAAGATAATTGAAGCATTAATTAAGTTTTCTTAGGCGTTGTATATTTTTATATCTCTTCCTAATAAATTGAAAAGAAATCTTTTTGTCATGTATCTAGCATAAAACAATATTTCCTTTTCGTACATAGAAATATGATAGCTATGCCCGATTTTTATTCATACTTAAAAATTGAGCATCATCTTGTAGGTCTTAACATTCATTTACCCCATATGAGATTAAACTGTCAGCTGTACTGTGAGACTTGAAAGAAATTTTACATTTCCCATCGGATTGTTTTTCTGTATCTGAATCTGATTGTAGGATGTTGCATGAATTTACAGTGTGTTATGTTACATATGTAGGAGGAAAAGAAGAGAAGTTTTGGATGAATTTTATGAAAATTCATCATGTTTTTTCATAAAATAATATTGTTTCAACAAACTTTCAAAAAATCATTACTTTACCTAAACAATATCGATATATCTTCATAAAAATTTTGATGCTTTTTCACCCACAAGGCAAATTTTTATATTTCCATCTTTAACATTGCAAAATTAACCTTTTGAAATTGAATTACTTTAACATCGCTCCAGAAAAATATCCCAAAAAAAGGCAAATCATGAATCTGAGGAAAATTCTTTTACCGTACCTTTTATGACCTTTCCTTTCAAATAAATCTTTTATTTTTTTAAGATATCAATTGAGGTAAGCAAATAAATGTTTTTCTTAGATTTGGTGTTGATTATCTTTGAGATGAGGAACTCAAATTTTACGTAATCTCTAAGTAATCAAATTAAGGGCTGAAATAATGTTGTGTGAGGAAATTTGGCAACGAATGGCTCTCTGATGTGAGTAAGTAAATACTTAATTTGATCTGCTTAATGATTTGAGTCGTATAATTGATTTTCATTACTAACGATAATATTGAATTTAATAGAAAATTGAAAAAAAAAATTAGGTTTTTAAGGTTTGAAAAGTTTGTAGACTCAATTAATTAATCTGCATAATTATTTAATAATTTAATCATCAATATGATCTGACTTCCATGAGAAACTTTCCAATAATAATAAATTTAACTGCATTTCCGCAATAAATTCTCTTCATATTTATTACAGACACCCACTGGGCAGCACTCTCCAGCTCACAATTCAATTTGTTTTCAAATTTTCATGTCATGTTGTGAAAAAAATTAATCCTCACTATTTTCTCTCTGTTTGACACATTTTCCATCTTCATTTCAATGTAAAAGGAAAGATTAATTTTGTTCCCTAGCTCCAAAGTTGATTTTCATAGAATATGATTATAACTTTATTGCTTATGTTCTTTTGAAAAGAATAAAATTGTTTTCTTTATATTTTATTGCTCTTTTATGGTTTAAACAATTTTCAAGTTATTTGTTCTTAAGCTATTCATTATTTTTGGCACTTGAAATGTTTAGAATATTTAATGAATGTTAAAGAAGCACTTAAGAATGAGTTCTCTAAGTCGAGGCTCATTTTTACGATAGAATAAGAGAGAAAAAATGATTGTAGGCGGGTAGGAAAGAACTTCTCATTGTCAAGGATGCATATCAAGACTGTAATTAAACTAAACCACGAAGTCATATTAATGCTTTCATAGAAATTCATCTCTAGTTTTTTTCAAGTGAATGAAAAAATGTGGGACGATGGAAATGGTGCTATAGCTTCAATAGGAAAAGGAAGGAAATACTTTTCTTTTATTTTTGACGTAGTACATAATTTATAAAGGTTGCTACGTGTAAAGAGTTGCTCAGCATTAGAGGATTAAAGAAGTTGAAAACCTGTTGCACATTTCATACAAAAGCATCAAAAATTCATAAGGATGAGTGTATAGCTTCTTGAAAAGTCTTCCATGATATACTATTTTCTCAACATGTGACTCTGAGTTTTCCAATGAGAGCTGACTGGAAATTTTCCTCTCACTGGATGTTAGGAAATTGTGTATATGATAAGCAAAGGAAAGTTGAATGAAATTCACAATCATCGTCGCAAACTCATTCGAATCAGACACAAAAAAGTTTTCTTCCTTCATTGTCTGATTTGTTGATTCAAGCCACAGTAAAAATATCCTAAAACGATCAGAAAAGTGAAAAAATATAAAAAAACTTTTTCTTATTTTTTCGACAATTTTTAATTTAATTTTTGTCAAAAAAAAAGTTTTGTGGATTTAAAAAAAAATAAAAAGTGGAAACGATGAAATACTTTGTAGTTCTGTCATTATTCTGTCTCATTCTTGTGACTGTCAAAGCAAATCCATATATGGATAGTGATTTAATGCTAGGTGGTAAGTTGTATGTTATTATTAACTCAATTGTTGGTCAATTTACTGAATGAGAAATAACTCAAGCTGACATAACGTGACTATAATGTGAGAAGACGACGGCATTTTCCGACCATATGGAAAGGAAGAAAAAAGTTCACAGAACGAGCAATTTTCTTTCTTCATCCATCTGAGGTGTTTCCTTACCCAACGGCACTTTCTTTCTTTCTTTATGAATTATTTACAGTCAACTTATTTAAAGACTGTTTGCTACTTTATGTCTCAATTCTCATATAAAGTGTGCATGTAAAGAAATTTTGAGTATTTTTAAATTAAGCAAATCCTTTCAATTTCCACAAAATCGTGAGTAGCATAAAAAATGTTTTGAGGAAGAAGAAATTTCAAGTTTTTAATGGAAAATTGAAAGTACAAGATTCTATTTGTATATCCAACGAATAATAAATTGTTGAGTGACAATAAAAATATTTTATTTATGCAAACAAATCAGCAGAATCGGATAATAAAGAAAAAAAGTTTGTGTAGGATTGAATGCGATGCGATACAATCAGAACAGAACAGCAAGGAATGTCACTCAATTTGTGGAACGGAAAGAAAGGAATTTAAGGAATGTAACATATTCTGAATAAAAAAGGAAGAACGGCTTAAGACTTGTTGCTTTCGTCGGGAAATAATTCAATATTTTTGTTCTTATATTTTGTGTATGTTGGAACTGAAAAATTTATTGACTGTGAAAAGCTATTAAAAATTTAATATTGCCTTGAGAATTCTTTTCATTCCATTTTCATGAATGAAACTTTTTTGTTCATGCATAATCCTAATCCATGTCTTATTTTTCGCGTCTGTTTCTTATTTCTGAATTTCCTCGAACTTTTTTTTTGGAACTTTCTTCTTCCTTTTATTTATACAGAATCAATAGAATATTCAAATATGATGATGGTGCTCAAATTCTGATGTCTTTTGAGTATTTCCAATTTCTTTGATCATTTCCATTCTTTTCATGTATCTCATTTTCATTTTACATCCTTTTACATGAACAATTTCACTTCTAAATGCACATTTTAAACGTTAAATGATACAAATTAAATTCCAAATTGCTTCCTCGCTCAACTAAATATTGATGTGCTCATGCTCATTTGCTTGTTTAAATTTCTGTAAAATCATTCAAGTTCCACAAACAAGCACAAAAACGGAGAATTTTCCTTACACACGATGAAGAAATGTGTCAAAAATTGTCAATTTGATGATGAAAAGGCACAGAAAGTGATTGATGAGGAATTGGACATTTTAGATGGGCAATATGCGTCTCATCTCCACATATACACTCAAGTACAGAGATTAAGAGCGATGACTAAGAAAAATTAATATCGATGGTCTATTATTACTGGTGGATATCCACAAAAAAAATGTCATTTGAGAACCATTTTGTGCTTTTGGGAATTCAGTTCTATTTTTAACAGCCATTCATCTCAAGTTTCATTCTAATAAGATTTTTTGGTTGTGGATCACATTTCATTCATGAAGAGCTAATAAAGTACAGCACATAAATTTTGTGGACCAAATCGTTTCACATTAAAATTTATTGCATGGATGTCCATAAATCTGTAAATTTATCACTCAATCTGTGTATTGAGGTCATCAAAGTTCATCAAAGGCTGTGACTCGTGAAATTTAATGCAATAAGAAAAGTTTTAAGCCTCAATTTACTTCCTTCGATTATTATCTCATGTAATAACAATTAAGTAACATCTGTGGGAGATAAATTTTAAAGAACTCGGTCTGTACATCCAAATGGGAAATTCATGACTTATGCATTAGTTTATCCTGCGCTAAATTGCTGTGGCACTCTCGTGAACTACAATAAAAATTGAATTTACATCACAAAAATTTCCCAAATGGTTTAAAAATAAACAACATCCAAATGCCTTCATAAATATAATTCCAAACTTTATTGACAGAAGCACTTGAAGTTCTATGATACAAAATGGAATCATACATGTCATGCATGAATAGAAGCTCATCAAAATAGCAGCAAAAAAAGAGTAAATCAATTTTTGAAGAGGAAATTCTGTCAATAAACTTTTCATTTACTCATAAAGTGTTGATGCCTGCTTTAAATTGACACAAAATGGAAAGGAAAAGTTTTCTTTTTCCATCACAGAAATTTGATTCCATCATCAAGTTTGAAATCTGACGCAACTCCTTTATTGTGATTCAAAGAAAACTTCCTGACTGACTTCTATTAGCAAAAATAACTATGGAATCCATATTGCGTTGAATAAAATCAATTTAAACTTTCATGCTTAGTTGAACTGTATTGAATTTCACTTACAGGATAAAAAGTGCTTCTCATTTTCAATTCTTTTGAAAAATTCTTCACATTGAAATTAAAATCAACTTTAGAGCAGTATAAGATGTTGCAATATTTCCTTATAGACAGTCTGACTGGCTTTTCCTCATTTTTATGATTGGAATCAATCTAGATTCATAAAATTGCCATCATCATCATTTACATGCAAATATTTATTTGAGGAATTACTTGTGGATGATGAAAATGCAATTGAATATTGACATAAAGTCTCACAAGTTATTCTATGGACTGACAGTTTCTATTTTGCGTACGTTTGCAATATTTGCAATAGAATAATATTGCAATAAAAAAATTGTGGAACGGAAATTGATATCTGTTGAATGTGCTGTTCTGATCACTGTTTGTGGCACAAACACGAGACTTTATTGAAAAACTTTAAGAGGAAAAGACTCCAGTGTTTGTGAATCCAGATATAACAGGGTTCCCTCCTCCTTCCTATAACCTCAAACAATCACATTTTAACCAGTCCGTAATTCGATTGATTTAACACAATAAAGACAAAATTCCATGCATGAAAAACAACAGCTTCAAAAGTTTAAACCAAAACAAAATATGCAGAATGCAAGATGAGAAGACACTTTGTTGCTGTGCATGCAAATCGCTGTTGAATGAGAATAAAAATTGATTACAGCAACAATTATCATTCATGTCAGGTTCAACTGCAATCAATTTTTATTGACATCATGGTTCAAGTCCTTTGGATTAAATTTAATTCTTGTTCATGATGCTTTTACCAGAGATTTAATTCTTGCCGACGTCAAAAACAATTTTAAGTCAAGACTGAAAACTCAAGAGAAAAGTTGTGGATGTAAACAAACTTTATAACATGATTCTTTTCAATCAATCTCTAAACCAGACTTTGAATGTAGGAAATTTGTGGTTTAGACTTAAATTAATCGTTGTAAATGAAGGAAATGAAGCTACAGTAAGTCAAGTCATGCATCAAGTTCTTAATTTTCAAACAAATTTAATATCCAAATTTAACTTTATTGAAATAAAAAGAATTCGGATGGAAAATTTCAATAAAAATCAAATTTGGATGATTAATTCTGTAAAATGACTCTTAAAGCTTCATAGCCAGCATCACTTGAAAATTTCATTAATCTCATTCGAATTTATTTAATTAATTATGTTACAAAAATAAACTTGAATCAAATTTTGTCATCAGCATGTTTAAATTTATAACAGGCACAAAATCTGATCTGTGATCTATTAATTGATAATTGATTGGAAACGGCCAGTCGGCGACACACAATGTAAAATTGTCATATCCAATGAATCGATTAAAATTGTTACATGAGGATGTCCACAAATAAGCAATCACATTCTCATTCCACAAAACATTTTATTCAGTCATTTTCTCACTTGACTTGTTATTGCTATGACTATGGATATGTTGCTGCATATGAAAATTGTGAATGAATTCATGCTTGACTAAGTATCTAATGACGTCTGAAACCGAAACTTCATCCATTCAGGATATTTTAAGGAATAAAAATCAGAATTGTGCATCCATCACATAGATACATTGCAACGCACAGCATAGTTGAGTCTACAGTCTGAGGACTTTGTAGCAAAGTCAGAGGACGAGAGGAAATAGCTTTCAGTCTTGTTAAACGCTTTATGTGTCATAAACTTGTTGTGTTTAAGCATAAACATCTCTCATCACATATTCATGACGACTACCTGTTGGACATAAATGATAAGAATGCCTCAAGGGCAATAAGGATGGAATGTCATCTTAAGCATTCATTCAGTCGATTGACCAAACAATTTAATTCTCTTTTCCTTGATTTTCAAAGCTAATAGCATCTTGTGATGTGCTGTGCGTAATGCCTTTAATTTTCTAATTTAAATTTAGATGATGAGCTTGGTTACTCGGAAGGAGTCAACTATCTTGATGAATTGATGGCTCCAGCAGAGAAGTAAGTCCCTTACAGCATAAACTATTGATGTCGTAGATAGAAATGAGAAAAATGATTTTATATGTGTGGGAAAAAGTGGAAATGGAAATTGTGGAAATTTTTCTCAAAAAATTATTTTCTAATTTTTATTAGACGCTCTTCCATGATTTATGTTTTTAGGCGAGCATGCATCAGACGTTCGGGAAATTGTGATCATCGGCCCAACGGATGTTGTGCAAATTCTTCATGTCGTTGCAATCTTTGGGGATCTAATTGCCGATGTCAACGAATGGGATTGTTCCAGAAATGGGGAAAATAAAGCGGCAGCAACGACGATAAACAACTTTTGATGACTTTCATATCCCGTTCTGTAAATTTGGTTTTATGATTTATTTATGCTTGTTGGATGCGATTTTTATATTTTTCATGAATCCACAAACTTGCAGTTTCTATTTTTAACCATGCAAATACGAAACAATGTTCAGTTCTAGTCATCAAGATTTTATCACTTAGATCCAAAGAACGCAAGTTTTTATGATTTTAAAATTCAGCATCCAACATTTTCGTTCTAATTTTAATTTTATGATTTTTCGAGTAGTTTTAAATTAGAAATTTGAAGTAGGAAAGTGATTAATGGATTTTTGACCTTCTTGCGCTCAATATTAACAATGGACTAACGAGAGGCAGCTAAAATAATAAAATTAAGTATGAAAAAGGTTTTCATATTCTGTAAAAAAATAAAATTAATGAAATTCTCTTCTTATTTTGGTTCTTAACTGAACAAAGACTTGACAAATTATTATTTTTATTAGTTTTTGAAGTATAAAATGGAATGAGAAGAAGAACTCATCTGTATTCATAAGAAATTCACGAACGAAACTTTCATTGCCACAAAATATTCCCAGCCACAATTTTCTGACAATGAAAGTCGCGTCTTTCGAATGTGCCAAGGCGAAATTATATCCTTAAAAAGAAATCCAGCTTTTTGCCTTTGCACATGAAAGTTTAACGAGATTTTTATTTTTTGTTCCTTAATGTCATCCACAAATGATGAATTAAATTATTTTTATACATGTGAAAATTTCCCATCCCAAAATAAAGCACGGAAGTGTTTGATTCTTCACCTTTTATGTTCCATGAGTCATTTTCCATTAAAATTTATTAATGAAATTTCCTTTCATTGCTTATGCTTTTGTCATTACTACAACAGCCTCTGTGAACTTATTATAGACATCAAATGCAGGCGAGCTTTCTTCTTGCTCACTTTTTTGTTGCTTCAAGCACTTCCTTTCTCATTATTGTTATTCTTATCACTTCTTTTGGTTCATTCACGCATTTCGGACAAAATTTACGTTGATTTACGAGATCAAGCCTCGGTTAGGTCTTAGTCATTTATATTTTTAGAAATTTAATTCAAAAATTCAGTTCTTTCGACTGCATGTAAACTTTTAATACAAAAAATAATATAAAAACTAGTAATGAAGCCGATCACGCTTCATGGGAATATTCACACAATCCTATAGAACTCTCTATGTATTGTTCAGAAAATCTTGAAAAATCTTCTCTCAATAAAATGTAAGACTTAATATCAAAATTTGCTGCATTATCAACAAAGGATACCACGCATTAAGAACACGTTTTATAACGAAAATCATGATTCTAGTGTCGCAAAGAAATAAAAATTTTTAAAATTATAAATATGAAAAATACGACCTATGTAGAAAGCCATTAACTTTCACACTTAGTAAACGATAGATTATGAAATTGAAAAATCACTCAAATTAATGCTCCGCAGTCAGTCTCTTATGTAGATCAGACTTCAACATAGGTTACAGTCTTGGAAAGTTTTGCAACTTGTGTGCTCCGTTTCGTTCAACTGTTTATAGATTACAGAAGGTTTATAGGTTACAGGTGTAAAATAATGATCTCAGTAGTCTGAGAAAATAAAAAAATCAGTTGAAAAACACGAACAAAAACATTAAGACGTGTTTCATTAAAAATTAAAAATAAAACAACAGGTGTGTTGAACTCAGATCTTATAGATGACAGTAGGTTTATAAATTACAGGTGTGTTGAACTTCAATATCAATATTTATTTTTAAATACTTTTAAGGTCATAGATGCAACCAAATTATCTAGATCGATCTGGATTTTTAAAAACGGGTGAGCTTCGCTCAACCTAGTTTAGATTTATAGGTTACAGGTGTGTTGAACTCCACTCCGTTTCACTCCGTTTCGTTCAACTGTTTATAGATTACAAAAGGTTTATAGGTTACAGGTGTGTTGAACTCCACTTCGTTTCGTTCAACTGTTTAAAGATAACAGTAGGTTTATAGGTTACAGGTGTGTTGAACTCCACTCCGTTTCACTCCGTTTCGTTCAACTGTTTATAGATTACAGTAGGTTTATAGGTTACAGGTGTGTTGAACTCCACTCCGTTTCACTCCGTTTCGTTCAACTGTTTATAGATTACAGTAGGTTTATAGGTTAAAGGTGTGTTGAACTCCACTCCGTTTCACTCCGTTTCGTTCAACTGTTTATAGATTACAGAAGGTTTATAGATTACAGATCGTACTGGATTTTTTTAAATTGGGTAAAATTTTCACGCCTTCACTTCGCTTCGCTCCGTTCAGGACGTAAAAATTTGTGAGCTTCGCTCAACCTAGTTTAGATTTATAGGTTACAGGTGTGTTGAACTCCACTCCGTTTCACTCCGTTTCGTTCAACTGTTTATAGATTACAGAAGGTTTATAAGTTACAGGTGTGTTGAACTCCACTCCGTTTCGTTCAACTGTTTATAGATTACAGAAGGTTTATAGGTTACAGGTGTGTTGAACTCCACTCCGTTTCACTCCGTTTCGTTCAACTGTTTATAGATTACAGTAGGTTTATAGGTTAAAGGTGTGTTGAACTCCACTCCGTTTCACTCCGTTTCGTTCAACTGTATGTAGATTACAGTAGGTTTATAGGTTACAGGTGTGTTGAACTCCACTCCGTTTCACTCCGTTTCGTTCAACTGTTTATAGATTAAAGTTGGTTTATAGGTTACAGGTGTGTTGAACTCCACTCCGTTTCACTCCGTTTCGTTCAACTGTTTATAGATTACAGTAGGTTTATAGGTTACAGGTGTGTTGAACTCCACTCCGTTTCGTTCAACTGTTTATAGATTACAGTAGGTTTATAGGTTAAAGGTGTGTTGAACTCCACTCCGTTTCGTTCAACTGTATGTAGATTACAGTAGGTTTATAGGTTACAGGTGTGTTGAACTCCACTCCGTTTCACTCCGTTTCGTTCAACTGTTTATAGATTACAGTTGGTTTATAGGTTACAGGTGTGTTGAACTCCACTCCGTTTCACTCCGTTTCGTTCAACTGTTTATAGATTACAGTAGGTTTATAGGTTAAAGGTGTGTTGAACTCCACTCCGTTTCACTCCGTTTCGTTCAACTGTTTATAGATTACAGTTGGTTTATAGGTTACAGGTGTGTTGAACTCCACTCCGTTTCACTCCGTTTCGTTCAACTGTTAATAGATTACAGTAGGTTTATAGGTTACAGGTGTGTTGAACTCCACTCCGTTTCACTCCGTTTCGTTCAACTGTTTATAGATTACAGTAGGTTTATAGGTTACAGATCGTACTGGATTTCCAAATGTATCGACCAAGAATCCAAAATTAACCATGCTTACAACTCAGAACCAAGAGTATGTAAAATTTTAATTATTTTTGAAACTTGGAGCCAAGATCCAGTAAAGTTTGGATCATGGCTGAAACTTAAAACCAAGATCCAGTAAAGTTTTAAGCATGTCTGAAACTTAAAATCAAGATCCAGTAAAGTTTTAAGCATATCTGAAACTTAAAATCAAGATCCAGTAAAGTTTTAAGCATGTCTGAAACTTAAAATCAAGATCCAGTAAAGTTTTAAGCATGTCTGAAACTTAAAATCAAGATCCAGTAAAGTTATAAGCATGTCTGAAACTTAAAATCAAGATCCAGTAAAGTTTTAATCATGTCTGAAACTTAAAACCAAGATCCAGTCAAGTTTTAAGCATGTCTGAAACTTAAAATCAAGATCCAGTAAAGTTTAAAGCATGTCTGAAACTTAAAATCAAGATCCAGTAAAGTTTAAAGCATGTCTGAAACTTAAAACCAAGATCCAGTAAAGTTTAAAGCATGTCTGAAACTTAAAATCAAGATCCAGTAAAGTTTTAATCATGTCTGAAACTTAAAACCAAGATCCAGTAAAGTTTTAAGCATGTCTGAAACTTAAAATCAAGATTCAGTAAAGTTTTAACCATGTCTGAAACTTAAAACCAAGATCCAGTAAAGTTTTAATCATGTCTGAAACTTAAAACCAAGATCCAGTAAAATTTTAATCATATCTGAAACTTAAAACCAAGATCCAGTAAAGTTTTAATCATGTCTGAAACTTAAAACCAAGATCCAGTAAAGTTTTAAGCATGTTTGAAACTTAAAATCAAGATCCAGTAAAGTTTTAACCATGTCTGAAACTTAAAATCAAGATCCAGTAAAGTTTTAAGCATGTCTGAAACTTAAAACCAAGATCCTATCAAGTTTTAAGCATGTCTGAAACTTAAAATCAAGATCCAGTAAAGTTTTAAGCATGTCTGAAACTTAAAATCAAGATCCAGTAAAGTTATAAGCATGTCTGAAACTTAAAATCAAGATCCAGTAAAGTTTAAAGCATGTCTGAAACTTAAAATCAAGATCCAGTAAAGTTTTAAGCATGTTTGAAACTTAAAACCAAGATCCAGTAAAGTTTTAAGCATGTCTGAAACTTAAAACCAAGATCCAGTAAAGTTTAAAGCATGTCTGAAACTTAAAACCAAGATCCAGTAAAATTTTAATCATATTTGAAACTTAAAACCAAGATCCAGTAAAGTTTTAATCATGTCTGAAACTTAAAACCAAGATCCAGTAAAGTTTTAAGCATGTTTGAAACTTAAAATCAAGATCCAGTAAAGTTTTAACCATGTCTGAAACTTAAAATCAAGATCCAGTAAAGTTTTAAGCATGTCTGAAACTTAAAATCAAGATCCAGTAAAGTTTTAAGCATGTCTGAAACTTAAAATCAAGATCCAGTAAAGTTATAAGCATGTCTGAAACTTAAAATCAAGATCCAGTAAAGTTTAAAGCATGTCTGAAACTTAAAATCAAGATCCAGTAAAGTTTTAAGCATGTTTGAAACTTAAAACCAAGATCCAGTAAAGTTTTAAGCATGTCTGAAACTTAAAACCAAGATCCAGTAAAGTTTAAAGCATGTCTGAAACTTAAAACCAAGATCCAGTAAAGTTTTAATCATGTCTGAAACTTAAAACCAAGATCCAGTAAAGTTTTAAGCATGTCTGAAACTTAAAATCAAGATCCAGTAAAGTTTTAACCATGTCTGAAACTTAAAACCAAGATCCAGTAAAGTTTTAAGCATGTCTGAAACTTAAAATCAAGATCAAGTAAAGTTTTAAGCATGTCTGAAACTTAAAATCAAGATC